TAGGTGTGAGAGCTTCAATGGAAATAAAAAAAGAACGTTCTCATAGCTAAAATTTCAAGGTAAAGAAATAATTGTTTTTAACACATTTACAAATTCTATGACGTAAATAGATAAGTAACACTAAATCAGTGAAACTGCAATAACTTTTTACTTTTTAAAATTTCCTGTTTATCCCAATACTGAACTATCCCGATTAGTTAAACTTTCATGAAAAGGTTGAAATGTTTCGCAGAAAAACATGTGTCGCCCTAAGACGGTCAAGGAATCAGATACCATTTATGTTCAATAACTTAAATCATATCTTTGACACAAGAATATTAATATAAACTCAATTCTTCTAAAAAAAAAATGGTTTTCTTATGTTTGTCTTTCCTATTACAAATGTAGTTTAATATGACTCTAGGGTGCATGAGCAAAACAGAGGATACGTTTAATACTTACTACATACATCGATATTGTTTCTTAAAACTATTATTTGTAACTAAGATTTAAGATCTGTTTTTCCGCAAAACAAATGATAGTAGGTATGTATTTCATTTGCACATTTAGTCTTTTCTTTTTCTACTTTGAGAACCAGCCAAAAGCAATTATAGAAGGCGTTTGAGACGACCATGGATTTAAACATAGTTTGACACATAACAACGTAACTACTTCGTGACAATCCCCGTATTCCTTTACATTTCATTTATCCTTATTTACTTTCGTTCAAGCAAACGCTCGGCTGCCTCTGAAAACCCCTATTGCGAAATGCCGGAGTTGACATAGACAGCCGCCATATTGGACCCGCTTCAGATTTTCAAATGTTTATATCTAGCGTTTGAATTTATCAATGTTCAAACAAATTATATAGTAAGCATTATAAGAACGGTTTCTAATAACATTCCAAAAATAAATGAAAAATACTGAAAAACAAAAAAGTTAGAAAATACGGACTTTTTAAATTCGCTTCCGCTAGCGACCGGAAGTACTGACGACACACAAAAAGGTGATTTCACATATCTTAAAGTCATCATCTATCATCTCTAACAAGTTTCCAGTTAATATCTTAGACCATTTTCGTAAAAAAGGGGGGACAAAAATCCATTTTAAAATCAGAAAACTGTCAATAACTTGGAACCGAAGGTGAGTATTCCAAATTTTCCTTCCGATGAACAAAGTTCATATAATGACGCATGATACCTGAAAGTTTCATTGAAAACCACCGAATAGTTTTCGAGAAATCGCCTGCACAAAATTTTGGGGAAAAAAATAAGAATAATAATAATAAGAAACAGTAGAATCACTAGAAGGTCTTCCGCTGAAGACGGAAGACCTTAATGATATAACTTATATGAATGCTGTAAAGATTCAGGGATTTCTATCAAATCAGACTGCACAGATCAATAGGGAGATGTATATAAATCTCATGTAACGAAAGCAGAATAAACAGAGAGTATACCAATTTTCCTTGCTGTAATCAATTTGCGATGAAACATATTTTTAGACAATGTGTGTACTTTTTGTTTATGTAAATTGTTGGCTAGACAACGATCAAGTTTCCAAGTCAACGAAAAAATAATAAACTTTCGAATCTGAAAACGAGGCTCTGAGGGATTTCCCGCCACAAATCACGGAATAATGGCAGACTCTTTCTACTGTTTTGTCAGAAGATACACATGGGACACATAACGGTCAATTTTTGATAGTCATATTTCATCAGATATAGTGCTTGTCAAGTCTTACATAGAGGTTATATTGGTTAGAATATTTTGAGGGCGGGGTCGAAGTCCATAATCTACAGCGCCATTTTGTTAACAATGATTTATGCAGAAGCCTTTTAGAAAAATTTTGCCGTAACAAAGCATGAGCTGCTTAATTTATGATTTCCCTATTTTGTCTAAGAAATGTCGTTCTTAATGCTTTTAGCTCAATATCTATTCAAAGATGGGGTAAATGATACATCTTTTTCTTTTTATATCTTGAAAATAAGAAAATGTATTGGATACACTGTTATATAGTCTGTCCCACGATAATAAAGATATTTTTGAAATAGATAATTACCTGGGATTTTAAACAAAAAATCTCTTTAAGAAAAATTAGAGTGCTGCACCTGATTAATCCCGTTGCTTGACGTCAATAACGTAATGTCATACAGATTCGGGATGCCACAGTTGGATAATCTTTAGAATTATTGACAGAAAGGCCGAAATTTACAAGTAAATTTTTGAAAACTTTAAACGTTTGTCTTGTGAGCTTGTTTCAAGCTGTTTGTATCGAATATGGCTAAAATTGTTTTAAAATGATGAAACTATTATGTTTAAAGACATTTTGCTTTAGGACAGGTCAAAATTGATTTGATGTCTTTAAATTGTAGAAACGCATAGGCAATATTCACTGTAGTTGACTGTTCTTCCCTGAAGAGACTGTAGATTTCATTGTGCTCGTGGATTCATGTATAATTGGGCTTACTGTCATCTATCGTGTATATTACGTTATAATTTTTTCCCATTATTTTGTAAATATTTATCATAAATAAACTTCTTTTAAAGCTATAAAAATAAAATATTATAAATCATGATTATTCTATACAAGTTTTTTTTTAATCTGTGTCTCTACATTTGATACCGCTTGGTGAATATGTACGTGCTTTGAGAGTTTTTTTTTTTTTAAAGAAGTGATTCACTGCAATTTATTTATCTCTACGTATGTACAATTCTTAAAACAAGGTAGATTATTGACAAACAATTTGATGAAACAAGAATATCAGCAGTCTCATTAAACTCTTCATTTCGTTAGTTCTATGGTCAACACAAGGACCTTGTCAGCAAATACAATTTATCTTTGTGTCAAATGCTGACTGACGTTTTTCATACTAATTGTTAGTCCATTGTTTACATACTGAATTGACGACGGATTCTCCGTTAGTTTCCGATCATGACAAGGAGCACACGGCAAGTGTGACTGGTCGACAGGGGATGCTCACTCCTCCATGGCACATGATCCCACCCCTGATGTTTAGGAGGTCCATGTTTGTTTTGCAAGTATTTTGTATTGTTTAATGAACTTTTGAGCTTGAATATTGTTCGTTATCTCCATAAATTTCATTATTCGGACGATTTTGAAGACAGGAAGGCGGCGTCAGGATTAATGAGACGCCACTGTATTTGATGATTTACGTACAAGTATATAACACGCATTTTCTTAAACTGTTGTGAAATTAAACACAAATGTTAAATAAAGTCAGAAATTGTGAAAATTTGGGTAAGCAAGAAATCGTAATGATTGATGTTTACTTAAATACGCATATTCTTTTTATTTTTACTTCTAGATGATATAATTAATAAGTATATTCAACATAATTGTTTCTCTCAACACTGCTGAAGAAAGATGACCATCCGACAAATTCTTACAATTAAGGATATAGTTTGGTTATATGCTTCATAAATTGCATTTTCCATACAAGATAGAAAAGCATGATTTTTTTAATCTCTATGTTTCAACAATTTTATTTTTCATGCAAGTTAGAAAAACGTAATTCTTTAAATCGGTATGCACACTGCTTACTTAATTTGCGAAATCTATTTTGTAAACAGTATTTAGTTCCACAGAATGTTATCTGTTTTGATGTTTTCTCTAAAAAGGCTTTCAAAAACCGAGAATACTGCGCAGGAGATGGAAAAGAAAGCCATATATAGGTCATCAGATGACACCTGAAAAGGAAATGCAGAATCTTGGATACAATTACCCATAACAAGGCATGACAACAGAGGAGCACCGAACGGCAACAGCTGCCATTTCTAGTGTAATACTGGGGCTCTTATCTCCTCGGGATCTCTCGTGGTCTGCACAAACACTTATTTATGTCGTTCCGAAAATTGATGATGATCAAATAAAAGTCGTAACAGAAAATATGTTTTAACCAATTTTGGAGAGAAAAGCTAATGTTGTAGAGTAATTTATACGCCATTTATCTTGTTATGACAGTGATGTAAGGTTTACAAACGAACTTCTTGTTTCTGAGAAATTTTTGGTCTTAGATTCTTTGGTACACGATGAAAGACTCATCATAGATTTTTTTTCTTTTGCAAGTAACGTTTACTAACTTCTTTTCTTGTTAAATTTTCCTGAGAATAATGGTATATTGCTTTTTCCTCGGTACTAACAAAACAAAAGTATTGGTTATTTTTCAGTGTTAGGTTTGGTTAAAACGTTATACTCTAGACATTTCATTTTTAAAAAAAGTGCTACAGTTGAAAAAAAAAAATCCATCACAAGTTATGAAATGTCTCTTTCTGAATCATATCGTGCTTTGCTTAAACTATCAAAGATTTACTGAAAATAAAATGTTTTGAAAGACATAAACTGAGAATCGTGACGAGCACTATACCTCCTTACAATGCTCCTGGTATTTCTTTTCCTACATAAAGTCATTAAACCTTTTACTTTGATTTTTTTCTTCCTGCGAATGAAAAAAAAAATCGGAGACTCGAATCCCCGGCGGAGAGATGCCGCGTAAAAAGTCGATACCATCTCTTCTCTTTTCAGAGAAATATACCCTCCAAAAACATATCAGTAAAGCCCAAACATGTAGCAATTACTCCGATTTCTTTTGCTTAACTCAGATGAACGGATGTCAGTCATTTTGTAACAATTGTCGAAATGTGCACATTATGACCGTTATCTGACGATTAGTCAAACTAAATCAATGTTCTCTTGCCTAATGTGTAACTAATGCAGACAAACTATCCGATGAGAGAAGCGATGAGAAAATTGATTAGATCTATAAACAAATCGACTATCGCTTGCATAAAACATCGCTAATTCTCCTCGGCTGGGATGGTGATGTGAGACTCACAATACGAGAAAATTTAATTTACTATTAAATTGGCCTCACCAACACGCGTATTCTGGACCTCGATTTTGATTGGCTCTCCTTTTTCCTGAAAACCCACCCGTTTTTTGGTTGACCTTCCTTCGATGTAATATTATGTATGCCTTGCCAAACAGTGTAGAAAAAAAATCACGGATTTTTCATCTTTAAAAGTATGTGATTTAATTTATACCATTTCTCAATTAACTTCAGATTTTTGTTTAAACCAGTGTGTCGGAGTCTTAACAGACAGCCATCTAAGAAAAACCTGTCTAATTTCCTGTCAGCTCCAAGATCCTACCTCATCAAATTTTCATGAAAGAAATTACTTTACAATTCCAGCTAAAACATTACTTCCCTTGCAGATTGCCCTTTGAGTGTTGTGCTCCACTTGTATGTTCGGAATACCTCGGTGGTGATAAGGGGCCACCAGGGATCAGCTAAGGCGTCTGACAAACATAAGAATGTGTCTTTATTAGGCATCTAAAAAGTTCCGAAAATCGGTAAGTGGTTTTCTTTTTTTCTGTCCACTCTTGTAACGATTTCTTTGATTCTGTAAATAATCAATCCTTAAAAACTGACGCGAAAGTAGCGTTTTAAATTTCAAAAACTTTTTGAAATTATTGACAAGGATATACAAAATTTGTGCAAGTTGGTACTCCTGTTAAAAGCATGGAGTCCGTAGTTTCCGTTTTACCTCCCGGGGTCGGTGTTTGCCGAGCTGTTTAAGAACCCCCTCCTTTTTTCTCCTATAGATTACTTTAGGATCTGTTGACTTAGCCATTGTCGATACTGTGTCTTCACAAACCCATCCAAACCCTCACATTTAAATGGATGTTACCATTGTGTCAACAGTGTGTGTATAGTACAAATTTCAAAGAAATATGACAATAACAAATTTGACGATAGAAGGAATGTCGATCGTAATTTACAAATATTGTACAAGAAATGAGTCTGCAAAATGAAAGGAAAAAACCATGTCAAATAAATTTCGAGAAGTAAACATAGCATTCAAGGAATTCGAGCAGGTAGGAAATTTTTATTCAAAAAAATTATTTTTTCATGTGAAATTTTTGATAATTTTCTTACCTAATATATTGTGGCCTTAGAAATTTTGATCGTAATTTCGTTAAAAGTCACCATTAAAAATATTCATATCAAGCAAGAGGGAAATATTTCTCTTGCATGGGAAGCTTGAATCCTTTAGAATTATGATACTATGGAAACAGTATAGTATTTTAAACATACAGAAAAAGCGAAATGTCCTCAATGAAGTGAGAAAAATTAACGTGGTTAAATTTTTTGCCCACCAAAAATAATTCCAAATTGGATGAAAATAAAGTCTTCTGTAGAGAGTTTTGTATGCAAAATACTCCAAATACAATCGAAAGAAAGACATAACAGCTGGAAGATTCTGTTAGTTTTATACTGAAAAGTATTTACAATAGATCCTGGTGTGATACATTATTATCATTTTAACTCAGCATTGTTCAATAAAAATTTTAATAAAAATCTTGAGTTTTGATATCGAAAAACATTTTTTTGCGATAAGTGAATTATATAAAATCATGATAAGTATTTAATTTAAAGCTTTTAAGATATATTGATCAGACTCGGTGATCTTTTTCGCATGACATAAAACCCCTGTGGTCTCGCTTTGGTCTATCCCGTGCTATTTCACCAAAGTCTATCAAAGACACATAAATGTTTCACTTGCTAGGCTCTGATCAGTGTACAGGAACACGAATATGACTGGAAATTAAAAGAACAGTACCGTTTCATGTGAACGTTGATCTATAATAGATGAAGCCAACATTTAGTCAATTGTCGGAGTTTTTTCTCAGGCTGAGTACCAAACAACCCCGGGTGGATGCAGATTTACAAGAGAGGAAACAAAAAATGTTTTCATTTGGCGCCATGTCACCTGTTTTTATCCGCTGATAATCCTGGCCATTTCTCTCCCTGTCAGTTACACTGACATGTATCGAACATCGATTCATATTCAGAGGATCTGACACTCGGGACTCCCCACGAACATGTACCATTTCATAATGGACACATGGATTCAGATTTTTTTTGAAAAATATAACTTTTCATGACATCGTATTTGAGAGGATACACAATGAACCCCATTTAAACACACCTACATATGAAGTCTTTTGTATAAGGGATCGCTCTATACAGAGAAAAACCAATACAGTAAGAATGCAATACCATGCTTGTCAATAAAGACATCAGTTGTAGTCTACCGGGTAATCATCAGTCAATTAAAAGCTCATCTTTTTTGACATTGCGAAAATGACATAGCAAACATTTATACAATTTGTCCACGATACAAACTCGGCATAGTTTATTATACCGGAACAGCAAAGAATGTTATCTCGTATCTAACCCGTTAATCTGCACCTGAAACTTCAATCAATTTTAACAAATTAATTCACATTCAGTAACACGGAGTCACTTAATTGGATCGGTATTGTTTATTACTTTGAAAATGATAGTTATGATAGTATAAATTTGCAAACAACCGTAATGCTGCCATTATTAATTCAATATCTTCAAAGAGGAAAAAAAAACGACGGAAACAAAAACTGCACAATAAAATGAAATTCCACAAAAAGATTTTAATTATTTTCAAAGTTGAAAGGGACCCTGACAATTTTATAACATATCACACAAAAAAGAGTTTATTTCGCACAAAAAAAAGAGCATTAGAAGTGATGTATGCTTTGAGCCAGCATTAGAAGTGATGTATGCTTTGAGCCAGCATTAGAAGTGATGTATGCTTTGAGCCAGCATTAGAAGTGATGTATGCTTTGAGCCAGCATTAGATATGCTTTGAGCTAGCATTAGAAGTGATGTATGCTTTGAGCCAGCATTAGAAGTCCTGTATGCTTTGAGCCAGCATTAGAAGTCCTGTATGCTTTGAGCCAGCATTAGAAGTGCTGCATGCTTTGAGCCAGCATTAGAAGTGCTGGATGCTTAGAACCAGCAGTAGAAGTGCTGCATGCTTTGAGCCAGCAGTAGAAGTGATGCTTTCCTCCAGCTTACTTACCTTTACGTGAGGTAATACTGGACACACCGACGCCTCGGGTTGCCTTCATTAATGTTTAATTATGTCTTAGGAATCCAATCTCACCAACTCAAAGTCTGGTGATAAAATATGTAATAACTATGGTGAGGTCTTCAAGGAAAAAGGGCAGAGGCTCACCTTCAAGTCTCTGTTTAGTTACCTCGTGTTACGGTGTCAATTAACGAAAATCCTTATAAAAACTTTCTTTGCTTGATTGTATACGTAATCTTTACTCAACACTACACGAGTTCTTTTATTTACTGACATCCGAGAGGTTAGGTACAGTCACGAATGAAAAAAGATCAAGAATAAATTCATTCTTTCTTTTCTTTACACGAAGTACCATTTAGTCCGACATAATTTGATTTTGCAATGTTCAAGAACTAATTAATTCTTTCTTTTCTTTACATGAAGTACCATTAGGTCCGAAAAATTAACTTTGAAGTATTTAGCCAAAGGAGATGATTCAGTTATAATAATAAAAAAAAATTATCATAAATGAAATTGTCAAGATGTTTGGTTGAAAATTAAAATCATGTATAGGTTTGTAACATTTTTGGTCATTTATTAAGAACAAACTGGAATTATAAAGAGGGTGTTGCAGTTCCTTTGTTATTTTCCCTATATGTGTAGCAGATTTAAAGAAGAATTTTTATGTTGCAGAAACTCATATTAATTTTTTTCAAAATCAACAATATATAATGCACAACGAGAAACAATATTTGGAAGGTGTGTATTGACTTCCAGTTTGCCATTAAATGATGTGAAAATTAGTCTTACGGCAAAATAGATCAGATTTTCCGTTTTTTAAGTAGGGAATCCCCATTGTTCTGAAAAATGCCTCCTTGAAACAAAATAATTTTGATATATACACAAAGAGGCAGGAATTTTCTTCAAAACTGCCATTTCCGATTTTTGTTTCAAAGCGGCACATTTTTGAAAAACGCAAAAATTGAATAAAAATTAGTCTCCAAACGAAATGCAAGATGTATACTTTAAGTAACACTGCAAAACCATCGTGTCTGAAATAGTCTAGTGGATATGCTGGTGGGTTTCCAACTAGTACTTTTACCAGAGAATGGGTTCGAATCATGGTATGGATCATTTTTGCATATTTTTTTCCATATGTAATGGTAGTGCAATGAACTTATATATTTTTTGAAAGAGGCGGGAGGGGGGGGGGGGGGTTGAGGGGGAGAGAATGTCAAGAAGTTAATTGAGTAATAACTAATCTATATACATGTAAAATGTATTAGAAATGCAGGATTAAATTGTTTTCCTTGATATGCTGTGACTTAAAACTAATGCTTTATTAAGTTTTGTGTTGGAATAAAGTTACTGTATTGTTTAAATAATTTATTTTTTTACATGCTGTAGTTATTGCAATTTTGGTCTCTTAGTTAAGATTTGATTTCAAACAAATAAAATGTCTTGGATGTAGCACCAACAGTGTGATTTTGGGACGCAGTTTTATTTCATGAAAAATATTTTCGCACGATATCTACAGTATATCTTCAAAATGCTGCTTTAGCCATTGTGCTTTTTGTTGTTCCAACCTCTTTTGTACAAAATGACGAATTTTTTGATGTATCAAGCAGGAAATACCCGCCGTAAACATAGTCTTCTACGTAGTTGTATCTATATTTAGACATAACGAGGGTATATTAATGTCCTTCTCGATATATAGGGAATAATCGCGAGTTTCTGCAACATCCTCTTTTAAACACTTATATTCCCTCTTGAGGGGCTAGGGAGAGTTATCTAAGAGTGAGTATTTTTCTTTAACTTTTCAGGCGGAATCTTGACATGAACCATGCCTTGTGACGTCGGTCTACCATTGTTAAGTGTCGTTCTCCTTCTCCTGCTTCAAGGTATGGCGATGATACACTTCTCTCTATCAGAAACGGGGTAATAAACCTGTTTATACAACATCGTTTAGTGTTTATCCACTCTTTTATTAATAATCAATGACATATTTATGTTTTTGAGCAATATACCGTGAATTAACTTGCTCATGTTGCTTTTTATCTCTCTTTTGAGAAATTTTAACACTCCTCATTTTAAAAGACAGAAAAGTCCACCTTTTTCCTCCGGTGGAAACTGTTGACCAATCAAAGTTATCTCCAGATTTTTTTAACATTTAGTTGCATTACTAACGATAAAAGAAAGATACATGAAAATAGTTCTGACAAAGACTTGATTATTGATGCGCAAAGCCTGGAATCCTCAAAGGGAAGTGGTATTCGTCGTTACCGGGAAGGAACTTAGCCCTCCACAAACGTGATACGCCTGATGTTGATTTGGTCAGACAAGCAGAAGCCGGCTCTTTACGAGGGGCATTCATTTAGCGCCCGTCCGTCCCGAGTAATCACTGTTAGTTAGACTCTAACTCGATTATATGGACTGGCGTTCTTTCGCCAAGAAGAACACGACCAATCACATTAAAGCAACTATTGTAAAAGTCGTAGATCTAATTTCTTGAATGCCATTTAGCTTAATCGAGTTTTCCTTGTGAGACCATTTCTATGAAATTCGAACGAGCCTGTATTTTTTCTTTGGAATTTCTTAAGTCAATAGATAACCAAGAGACGCCATGTTGGATCAGTCGGTCGTGATTTAGCGGATTGAAGCTGAGTTATATGATCTTTATTCAGTATATATGATACTTATGATAATACACATTACACATTACCTACTAGACAAACGTTGTTCGGTTGTTTTCTTACGATCGGGAATGTTACTTGGTCAAGAACGACAGATGGTCACGCAAGATCTAGATATAATCATGGGGAAACTGTTCCCACGTGGTTTCATACCGTCCCTGTTTGCATCATGCTTATTTCTTACTGAATTATAAAAGGTCAATGTTGTATATACATAAACACATTATTAATTAATTATAGGATGTCACGACTTGCATAATTCGTTAATCATTAAGATCATTAGCGTCTAGGGTGCCTTAATAAGGCAAAACTAACAAACCGTCTTAATATGTTGTATACCAGTCCCGTAGCAGTGGCTTTCGCGATCATTTTGCAATCATGACCTTTGTTGTTGACTTTTATCAATCTCCAGTACTAGCGACCACTCCAACAAAACTTTACCTTAGCTTAAAATCATGAAATCATGAAATCACAAATTGATCATCAGGGCTCTTGAGTGAAATATTTGGAGATGACGAACAGTATTCGAGCTCACAAGTCCATTAAACAATACAAACCAGGCAAAATGCGGACCTCTAAAACATCTGAGGTGGGATCAGGTGCCTTGGAAGAGTAAACATCCCCTTCCTACTGGTCACACCTGCCTTGTGCTCCTTATTATGATCGGGAAAGAATGGAAAATAATGAGACCGTAAAAACCGAGGTCCTGTGTCGCAGTAGGTGCTGACATGAAAAAGATCCCTCCCTGCTCAATGGTCCTAAGTAGGACAGCTCTCCATCCGCAATTGGTGGCGTCTTCATATGCGTGAAAAATCGAGAGGGACGTTAAACAACATACAAGCAGACAAACAAACAAAAACAAAAATGAAGACATGTCACACTCTATATCTTTTATTTCAAGCTCACATTTTTATTTCGTGTAGAAATTACCATTGATAATTGAGTCTAAATTTTCCGATAAAATGAAAACTCTTTAATGCTGTCGAGGGAATTACTAATATCTTACTACAGTCAGTTGTTTGGTAGTTCAAATGTAATAAATAAACAATCTGAAACATTAAGAAAGTAATTAATTGACAAACATACTGTAAAAGGTTTGTTAATTTCGATATTTTAGAAAAATGGTGGGTGGAAACTTTGAGGATCTACTGGTGCCTTTAACAAACGTGTGAAACTTTTGGCAACCATTAGATACTCATCAATTTCGACAATGTTTCCACTTTGTTCACTTAAAAGTATTGAAATATATAAATAGCAATAATGAAAAAGAATAAAAGATGGCTAGAAATAGTGACTATAAATTAATTTAAACTGGACGCTTTTAAAATTAATTCAGTTTGAAAATATTTTGAGTCATTGTTTCCAGAAGTTTAAAGAGAATTTGATAGATGTTAAATGATGAAATTTTAAATCCAAAATTCAAAAGTCCTGATATAAATCATTATATGATGTTTTATGTTTTTTTCCCTTCAGAATGTGAGTCTGAATGTACGTTTCCTAAGTTCCTCATAAGTGCTAGGGACAAGGAAACCGGACTTTTGAAACCATGGAAAACCAAAACGCACTGGTTCCAAATCAGCACCAACCCGCAAATACAACAGCTGAGTGAAATTTACGTCACGGGGTCCGATATGTGGCAGATCCGACAGGAGTTTTACAGGACGTGTGAATCAAAGTCCAGGCGGCTCTCCAATAAAATAACCTCACCAGAGAGGTGTGGCGAGAAAACGTTGTCCTACAATCGGACGTGTCTTACCGTGGACTCGGCAGACAAAGCCACCGGTCTCTACACGTACCGACTCCTGGAACAGCACGTCACAGGGTAAAGCAACGCTTTTTAAAATACTGGTTTATCTATAAAAACAAGGAAATATGAAAGAGAAATTAGGGAAATTTGGAAGTCCCAATTGAAAAAAAAATTATAAAGCAAGAAAAACTGAATTTAAGTAATGATCAGATAGAAATATTTACATATATCTAGTGAATATAAGAAATTTTTAAATGAACTTGCAATAGAGAAATGTTTCATGGGCATAAAAAATTAGTTTCCCCTCTTTAATATTAACAAAATGCATGTATATGTAAAATTACCAAGAAGAAACTGTCATTAGTTTCTCATGGCATTTTTTAATTTTTTTTTTTCAAACTTCATTTTTTATATCCAAAGAACTTTACACACTGGTTTTAAAGAGGTTTTTAAAATAAGTTAAATAACTCTTTTTGTGTTAAGAACAAATCACCATTTTGCATATCTAAAATGTATATTTTCATTCAAAGAGGTCATGGACATAAAAGAAATCATACGCAATTTAAACATTTTCTTAATAAAAAAAATATTCAAGTATGATTTTTGTCCACAATTTACCCAATCAAAATCCCCAGCTATAGTTGCTGCGATAAGTTCTAATTAGTGAATGAATTGCTAGCACCCTCTGATTACTGTGAATTACTGGGAAGATATTTTTGCAATTAGATACTTCCATCTCCTTCCTTTTCACATTCTGTAAGCACAGGAAATTAAATACTGAAGCTAAATAATCAATTTCATTGCAGTCATCCTGACAGGGGTATAAAAGAATTAAATCAGAATATGACAGTAGAGTCCGACTCAATTAAACAAATCCAGGCAGGGCTTTATCTACCACAGAATATATACTACATACACAAGTATTCGTACCTGCTAACCCTTTGCATTCACAGATCAGAAACTGGTCAAATGGTCTGAAGGCATTGGATAAATAAATGGCAGTTACTTTAAATATATTATTATGTACTAAAATTGTTCAAATTTTTTTTTACTCAGCAATCTCTATTCAGAGATGACATCCGGAAAACAAAGAAGAATATATATAAATGGCAGTTACTTTAAATATATTATCATGTAGAAATAAAATATTGCTCAGTTACGTTTTTTGATTTTTTTTACAATGAAGTATTTGTGCTATTTTTGTGGAAAAACTAGCAATTGTGTAAAACACTAAAATGTGTGTACAGACACTGTAACATTATGTCAAATGCATCTGCTCCTGCGTAAGGTGACGTGATTTGCAAATAACGTCATAATAGCCTCACTGACACCTGACCGTAGAAGTAGAATTTTAATTCGCATTAGTTTACTTCGCATTAGCTGTAGTGTGAACGCAATTTATGCCCTGTTCACACGAGAGTAAATGATCTACATGTATTTTACACGACAGCTAATGCGAAGTAAACTAATGCATATTAAATTTTTTCACAGTCAGGGAAAATACATTTGTAAATCAATCTGCAAGATTCATGTAGTGGCTAGAGTCAAATTAACATACTTTCACTCAATTTGTGAACCAAATATAGCATACCTATATATAACTACCAACACGTGTCACTGGCCTTACGCATGCGTCAAAATTTAATTCGAATTAGCTTCGCTTAGCGTTCACACGGAGCTAATGCGAAGTAACTTAATGCGAATTAAATTAATTCGAATTAAACTAATTCGCATTAAATTCTCCGTGTGAACGCTAAGCGAAGCTAATTCGCAGTAAATTTACGTCTAATTCGAATTAAACTCTCCGTGTGAACAGGGCATTAATTCGCATTAGTTTGATTCGCATTAGTTTACTTCGATTTAATTTACTTCGAATTAAACTCGTCGTGTGTACAGGGCATAAAGAAAGATACATCATATCACAGTATATAAGGTTCATATAATATGGACACGATAACGCAGTAAATTAATGCAGTATTCAAGATCAAAAGCCCATTCAACAATACAAAATAGGTTCATGTAGTGGCTACATGTATTCATTGATTTTAGTGATTAAAATACTTTCCCTCAACTTTTGAACCAAATATAGCACAAATACCTATATATAACCACCAACACGTGTCCTGTGACTTAATTCTGGCCTTACGCATGCGTCAAAATTTAATTCGAATTAGCTTCGCTTAGCGTTCACACGGAGCTAATGCGAAGTAATTTAATGCGCAGTAAACTAATTAGAATTAAACTAATTCGCATTAAAATCTCCGTGTGAACGCTAAGCGAAGCTAATTCGCAGTAACTTTACGTTTAATTCGAATTAAACTCTCCGTGTGAACAGGGCATTAATTAGCACTGGCATTTTTCGTCGAACAATATTATGCAGATAAAAAAAAGATATGCCTCTAAGATATATAGAAAAATATGGAGATAACGAACAGTATTCAAGATCAAAAGCCCATTCAACAATACAAAATAGGAAAATAAAAACGTCAGAAAAATTCGTCACATCCGCCGTAATGGTCCTTAATGATCAAAATTACGTTTCATATCAGTTTGTTAATAGCCTAATGGACTAACAATTAGTCTGAAAAACGTCATACAGTATTTGAATCAACGGTAAATTGTATTTGCTGACAAGGTCATTGTACCGACCATAGAACTTACGAAATGATGACTTTGACCGAGACTGCTGATATTCTAGTTTCATCAACTTGTTTGTCAATAATTTTCCTCGTTTTAGAAAATTGTACATATGGCACGCCAAATTCACAAAAATAAGCTAAACATAGTTTCACAGTCAATAAACTAGGTTTATCGGTTGTAAACTATAGTTTACGGAATGTAACGTAAATCTTTATTTTACATCTGTAAACCATAGTTAACGCGATAATTTATGTTTCAGAACCGTAAAGTATACTTTACACTGAAAACAATCATTTGCGATTGCAAAACATAGATTATCTGATAAATACAGTTTCACGATTTGTAAACTATGGTTTACAACTCTTAACTATAGTTAACAATCTGATAAATATAGTTTCACGATTTGTTAAACTATGATTAGCAACTCTTAACTATAGTTCACGATTGTAAATTATAGTACAGACAGATAAACTTAGATTAGCATTCGTAAACTATAGTTAACAACCGTTAAATATACCGGTAGTTTTACAGATGAAAACTATAGTTAACGAATTGTTAACTATAGTTCAAGGTTTGTAAACTATAGTTTACAGTCGATAAACCTAGTTTATCAACTGTGAAACTATGTTAATTTGGCGTGCCATGTGTACATACGTAGAACATGCTCTTGCGTATCGAATCAACTGAGAGATATAAACTCGGTCCGTATGCAGGCGATAAAGATTTATTGCTTCATAAGTAAGGAGGTTGAGGATTGAAAAGTTAAAGTCATCACTTTATCATAGAGCATGGTTGTTAGAATACCATTAATTTCTCTTTCAAGTAAAATTTCCAAATATGATATATAATAATATATAATAATCTTCGTATTTATGGTTATACGTACATGCAATAATATTAAGATAGATCATGAATATGATATTTATATTATTATTGTAATATTATTATACATGACTGTACTTTGTGACGGGGCCTAATCCTCCTCCTCCTGAAATACGTTTTCTACTTTTATAACAGTTATTGTTTATAACTAAGTACATGTACGTGTACTTTTAATATCTGTTTGTCATAAATTTTGTTGAGTTACATTGTAGTTTACTAGTATGACAATAACTATATTTTTAAAAGTTTACGTTCTCTTTATTGTACATGCTTTCCGTTGAAGAATCAATGCATTGAGTTCGGTGAGTCAAATAATGTAGACGAAAGATACGAATGTCTAACGATGGTAAGGGGGTCCAAAAATTACCGACGAACAACCCCATACCTTTATCATAAATCTGATATTAAATGGCAGAAAATGCACTATGAACAATACAAACAGCATATTACAAAAAAGCACAATAATTGTGAGTGAATGATGACTTACAAAACGTAAGAAATAATGAGCATTTCAATGAACTGACTTATTTTGAGTTTAATAAGTTAATAAAGTAATTTTCATTTTTGTATGTAGTTTTCAAAGATATTTCAGGTAATTATCTGTTGAAAAGATATTGAACGAAATATGTAATAACGAATAGTAATGAAGCTCAAAAGTCAATTTAGCAGTACAAATTGCGAGCAGAACAAACATGGCACCCTAAAACACCAGAGATGGTGCCATGAAGGTAAAGTTTCCCAGCCTGCATTATCTTAGAAAAATTCAACATCATCCTAGTAGTTCAGACAAAGGACCCCAGATTTCATTTTCATGATATGGCCTCTTGTTACAGGAGAAATATTCTAAAATCTTATTTTTATTTCAGAACAAAATATGTCTGCATGTCATTCCAGCGACGGAGTGATGGCGTTGTTACAGTAAGGAAGGGTAAGTCTAGATCTATGTTATTGGCATAGCTACATTGTCAAAGATAATTTTCAGGCCATTTATTTGAAAGTTTTAAAGAAGTAGGCCCTTCAATCAAACTTATGTTTGGACCACTAATACAATAATTTGCGTATTTTTATTCTCTTTTACAGACATAAATATTAAAAATATAGTTTTATGGTTAATGCAGCTATTGATTAACAGTTGTAATAATCACAGAAAAGAAATATACATGTACCCCGTGTAAAAAACGCTTATGTGGATTATACATTTCCCCCCAACAACTCGACAGTCGTTATTCCAGCATTAACATGAAATATATGGAGATAAAGAACAGTATTCAAGCTCAAAAGTCCATAAAACAATAGAAAACAGGAGTGGAGGAAACACAGATCTAAAAAAAAAATCAGAGGTGGGATCAGGTGCCATAGAGGAGAGAGCATCCCCTGCCAACCTTGTTCAATAGACAACTATCTCCGATCACCTCACCACCAGCACCATGGACGCACAGTTAGAGTGTTTCATTTTTAAAGTTGCGGGGGCGAATCCACAATGGGACGTCGAAACCGTTTAAAGATAATGTTCTTTTTCTCAAAAGATGCCACCACGAAAAAGATCATTATAACCACGAGTTTTTTAATACAATTAGCAACATTCCACCCGCAAAAGGTTGCAACCGAACATAATTAGAATTTGTCTTGGTGACGTAAAACAAACATCAATTAATTATTGACACGTGCACATACAATAATTGCTACTAAAAGGAATTAATCTCACAAAGGAAACGAAAACTGTTAACCACTTCCTCATTTTGTCTTTATGTAATATACCTTTTATGTTTTGCGGGGATGTTTGACATTATAGATGGCTGTATCTTTGTCTGGGGTGTTATATCCTTTTCCTCACTGAGGAGTAGGCGTTTTTGAGTCATTGTATCTTTTATTGAAAATCTCAAAGTAGCGTACTAGAAATGTTCGTTAATTTTCATCTTTTCTCATGATAAAGCTGTGCATCATTTTGTATAATTTTTAAAGTTAACAATTATTTGAAACTTATGAAATTCAAAGTATATCATTTGAACCGTTTTTTAGCTCGTCGTTGTAAACTTTTCACAATTTCCTTTTCTTTTCCTAAACCATTGAAGAAAATGCAAGCTTTAAAGTAAAGAAACATGTCCGTTTTCAATGGGAAATGGTTAAAAATAGAAGAAAAATTAATGGTATCATTCAAAATCTTTCCAAGAACCACTCTGTTGAAAAGATGAATCTTATATAAAATCTTTATTACATGGATAGATTCAAGCTTGTTCTAATCATGACCTCTAGGGATAGGATTGGGTCAAAAGGGACGATAAAAGTTTTACATAGACATATATGAAATAATTTGAAAATCTCAAGAACAACAAGGCCTTGATTATATGGAATCTTATTCAGAAATAGTAGATTCAGATTTCTTCAAGTCATATAATCATTAGAGTAGAGTAGTGCCACAAGAAGCATTTTACAGAGGAATACTAGTATAAAGAAAAACATCTTAAAAACCTGCTCACGAACCACAAAGCCATGATTAGTATTTATCATATAGAAGAATCATCCTCAGGTATCATATACATATACATTCAAGTGTTCAAATCAAGATTCCCGGGGTAGGGTAGAGTAGAGCCACAATTGGTGATATCAATTTCACACAGAAATGTATAGGAGGAAAATCTTTGAAAATTTTATTCTTAAGAAGAGCAAAACAATGAAAAATCAAATTAATATGGAAGCATCCTCAAGTTGTTCATATCATGACCCCAGAGGTTAGGATGAGCTTCTAACAATTCTACTTAAAAACATATAGGCCTAAGGGAATATCATTGAAAATCTCCTCCTTCAGAATAGCATTCAGAAAATCCTCAGTTAGATTCAGTTAGATTATGGACCCGTTATCATAAAATCCTCAGTTAGATTCAGTTAGGTTATGGGCCCGTTATCATAAAATAAGAATGGACTTAATTAAAATAAGTCGAATTTTCTATTATGAATGAAATATATGGGGATAATGAATAGTACTCAAGCTCACAAGTCAATTTCACAATACAAAATAGGGGCAGAGCTAACACGGACCTTCAAAGCATCGTGTGCTCCTTGTCATGATCGGGAAATAACGGAAAAACCCGTCGACCATTCAGTGTGCATATAATGGCCTAACAATTATTTTGAAAAGTCAGTCTGTATCTGACTTTATGATAAATTGTATTTGCTGACAAGGTCATTGTATCGACCATAGATTTTACGAAACTTGGCTAAATGAGACTGCTGATATTCTTGTTTCAGCAACTTGTTCGTCAATATACTTACATCGTTTTAAAAATTGCTTTTACGTAGAGCATGCATTTGTGTGTCGAATCAACTGAGAGACATAAACCCCGTTTGCAGGTGATGAAGGTATATTGCTGCATAAGTAAGGGAAGTTGTCGATTAAAAAGTTAAAGTCATCTCGTTTGTCATTTTGGTTGTTAGATTACAACTTACAATTCTTTCTAAAGTAAAATATTGAAATATAAAACAGATGTCAGACTTTGTGGTATCTTTTATTTCCAGCTCACCAGATATATCGTATCGACATAGAAATGGAAATAACCATTGTTAATTGACAATAAGTCGTCGATATATCTAGATGTCGAGTTGAAGGCCATAACGAGTGTTTTCTTCTTTTCGCGTATAGGATTTTTGAAAAATTCTGCTTCTAATGAATACAAAAATAGAATATCTTAGATTCTATTTAACAATCATGCTTAAAAACTTGCAGGTTAAAACTCAAGTACAAACACGTATAGAAAATTCCGTTTTGTTTTAAAATTATAATTACTTGAAGTTTACACTTTAGTCTGTTCTCAGGTTATGGTCAAACCAACAATTTTGATAACAAAACAAACTTTTTACCATATGTTTAAATTGGAATGTTATACAAACCTGCAATTTTTTTGGTAACATATGTTATATAAATGACAAGCTGTTCAAAATCAAAATGTTGACTTCAGTTTGTTCTCAGTTTATGTTCTTGGGACCTGGTCTGTTTAAATTAGGTCTTTCGGGAGTAGGATGGGGCCACAAGAAGAAATCAAAGTTTTACATAGGAATGTATAGGACAGCTCTTTGAAAATCTTGTTCTCAAGAACAGCAAAGCAATGATTAATTGTAATCTCATTTACATAGATGCATCTTCAGTTATCAGTCTAATAATGACCCACTTGGATAGTGTGAGAAAATAAGAAGCGATTATAATTTTGCACAACAACAGAGTTGAAAAATTAGACATGCACTAAGAACTTATGACCGTTGTTGTAAAGTCAGGGATCTATATAATATTAGCATCTACTGCAATACGAGACGGTTTCATCCAAAAGACCGATCTCCAGATGAAAATTTTGAAAATCGGCAGACTCGTTTTTTTTGTACGCGTATTTTGTATTCAGTGTTAGTGAAGTGATGCATGACAAGATGCAATTTCATTTCCTTAGCTGCCGAACGTATTTAAATTCTTCGGGAAAATATCATAATATACATGTATCAATATTGTACATGTATTTTGTCATTGTTCTTACTTTGCTATGAACATGATGTACGTTAATATGAAAAGAACCTGAAATTGTGTCTCGATTGTTCTCTTTGACTCATTTAAAACAAATATATGGATATCGATTACTTTATAAAACTGTCCATTTTTTGGTTCTTCGTTCGTCATGGTCGGCGAGTAATATTTGTGCCCTACCTAAACATTAAAATCTGTAGACAAATTTAGCTTCTCGGTTCAGTCCTTGTCTCCAAGATAAGCCCTGGTACCATTAGTATAGAAATCCATATAGTATGGGAAGACTTTTTTAGTTTATCTACATGTTTACTGGAGATCTAACTAACTTGTTTATGTATTTTGGGATTATTCTCACAAACACGTTTTGCTAAAAATATCTTAGGAACTATAAGAATATCATTAGAGTGCATTCTACTTACTAAAACGTTAGAACTATTTAGGTCTATAATTTGTTATAATCATATAATTATGATTTGTTATTTAGTTGATTCTGTGTAATTTATAAGCGTTGTATACGATAATAATTTTCATTTTACTGTTTTTTCTTATGGCTTTAAGTTTTTAAATCCTGTTAAATATTCCAGCATCTTTTCAGATATTTTGCATTTGACTGGAAAGAACTGAGAAGAACGAGACATTTGAGGTTTTGATGAAATATTTGGGGATAAAGAACAGTTTATACCATAATAGTATATAAAAACAAGAGATGCATGGACCACAACGTTCACATAAGTAACTAATGACCCTTCTGTTCTTCATCAATAGATTTTCCCCCACATATTTTTATAAAAAAATTGAATAATTTGTTTTGGCCTCATCCTACCTCAGGGGGGTCGTGATTTGAACAAACCTCATTCTTCTGCTCGAGGATGTTTCCATATAAATATGGCTAATCATGAATATGTTGAGACTTTTACAGATTTTTTACTATGTTTTGCTAAATGAAATTTGATTGCTTTTTTGTGGTTCCACCCTGTTACCTGGGGTCATGATTTGAACAATTATGAATCTTCACTACCTTCATATGCGTCTAATCGTGGCTGTGTTGCTCCTGGGAAGATGTTTTAGAACATTTCTCCCATATATATTCCTATGTTAAACTTTGAACCCTAATTTAGCCTAAGCCTTCACCCAGGGAAGGATTCATGGTTTTTTTAGCTCACCTGAGCCGAAGGCTCAAGTGAGCTTTTCTGATCACATTTTGTCCGGCGTCCGTCTGTCTGTCTGTCCGTCTGTCTGTCTGTAAACTTTTCACATTTTCGACTTCTTCTCAAGAACCGCTGGGCCAATTTCAAGCAAACTTGCCACAAAGTATCCTTGGGTGAAGGGGATTCAAGTTTGTTCAAATGAAGGGCCACGCCCTTATTCAAGGGGAGATAATTGGGAATTAATGAAAATTTAGTGGTATATTTTAAAAATCTTCTCCTCAAGAACCACTGTGCCAGGAAAGATGAAACTTATGGGGAAACATCCTCAGGTAGTGTAGATTCAAGTTTGTTCAAATCATGACCCCCGGGGGTAGGGTGGGGCCAAAATGGCCGACCAAAGTTTTACATAGAAATACATAGCAAAATTCTTTAAAAATCTTCTTCTCAAGAATGACAAAGCCATAATTCATCATATTTATATGGGAGCATGATCAGGTAGTGTAGATTCAAGTTTGTTCAAATCATGACCCCCGGGGGTAGGGCGGGGCCAAAATGGCCGACCAATGTTTTACATAGAAATATATAGGAAAATTCTTTAAAAATCTTCTTCTCAAGAATGACAAAGCCATTATTCATCATATTTATATGGAAGCATGTTCAGGTAGTGTAGATTCAATTTTGTTCAAATCATGACCCCCGGGGGTAGGGCGGGGCCAAAATGGCCGACCAAAGTTTTACATAGAAATATATAGGAAAATTCTTTAAAAATCTTCTTTTCAAGAATGACAAAGCCATAATTCATCATATTTATATGGAAACATGTTCAGGTAGTGTAGATTCAAGTTTGTTCAAATCATGACCCCCGAGGGTAGGGCGGGCCAAAATGGCCGACCAAAGTTTTACATAGAAATATACAGGAAAATTCTTTAAAAATCTTCTTCTCAAGAATGACAAAGCCATAATTCATCATATTTATATGGAAGCATGCTCAGGTAGTGTAGATTCAAGTTTGTTCAAATCATGATCCCCGGGGGTAGGGCGGGGCCAAAATAGCCGACCAAAGTTTTACATAGAAATATACAGGAAAATTCTTTAAAAATCTTCTTCTCAAGAATGACAAAGCCATAATTCATCATATTTATATGGAAGCATGCTCAGGTAGTGTAGAATCAAGTTTGTTCAAATCATGAACCCCGGGGGTAGGGCGGGGCCAAAATGGCCGACCAAGGTTTTACATAGAAATATATAGGAAAATTCTTTAAAAATCTTCTTCTCAAGAATGACAAAGCCATAATTCATCATATTTATATGGAAGCATGCTCAGGTAGTGTAGATTCAAGTTTGTTCAAATCATGACCCCGGGGGTAGGGCGGGGCCAAAATGGCCGACCAATGTTTTACATAGAAATATATAGGAAAATTCTTTAAAAATCTTCTTCTCAAGAATGACAAAGCCATAATTCATCATATTTATATGGAAGCATGCTCAGGTAGTGTAGATTCAAGTTTGTTCAAATCATGACCCCCGGGGGTAGGGCGGGGCCAAAATGGCCGACCAAGGTTTTACATAGAGATATATAGGAAAATTCTTTAAAAATCTTCTTCTCAAGAATGACAAAGCCATTATTCATCATATTTATATGGAAGCATGTTCAGGTAGTGTAGATTCAAGTTTGTTCAAATCATGACCCCCGGGGGTAGGGCGGGGCCAAAATGGGCGACCAAAGTTTTACATAGAAATATATAGGAAAATTCTTTAAAAATCTTCTTCTCAATCATTTTCTAAAAAATAGCAAATCCATGATTGGTCATGGGACTACTTTTGGATTTAAACTTTACAATAAAAAGCCATTTTATACTAGTCCTACCCTTGGTGCTCAGGTGAGCGATGTGGCCCATGGGCCTCTTGTATATATTTCAATCTACACTATTTGACGATGATTCAATATTAATATGACTGATCCTGGCTTTGCTATTCTTGAGAAGAATATTTTTATAGGTATCTCCTACATATTCCAATGTAAAACTTTGACTACCTCAAATAAAAACTATATTAATTTTAAATAGCATGCTGGTCAATAAAATGATATGCATATATTTATCTCTTTCACCCCTACATACATTTCTATAAAATACCACAGAACACTGAATATCTGGAAAAAATTGTGAAACATAGCAAACTCTTTTTAAAAATATCAATATCTTTTTCAGTTTTAGATTAACATATATAAAACTATATTTATTTATAGAGGAAAATGCTTAAATCATTTTTTTTATTATTAAAAGATCAATAGCAACAGTGTCAAACGATGTCGAAAGGATAAAATCTAATTATCGGATACATTTTTCTGTAACTCGGGTCTTGAACCATCGTCGTGCGTTGCGCATTAATGGCCATTTAAAACTGAATTTTATTAACTTCCTGAAAATGACTAGTTGTCTTTGTTTTTTAGAAGCATGTAATGTAAAGAAAAGGTAAAACGCTTAAGATGGTCAAATCTTTAAAATCATGTTCTCTTCACTCTGACTTTCAAGGAAAACTTAATGTGTTGTAAGACTGAGCATCAGACCGCTCACTAAAACTGTGTGAATGGATACTTGAAGTGGCGGTATTGTTTGACAGAGATAAAAACGCAATGTTGGAGTTTGAATGATTTGTTTGTGATAATTAAATGACAAAGCAACTAAAACATATCAATGCATATTAAAATTGATAATAACCAACACTATCAAACAAATGTTATAAATAAAAATATTGTGGCACATTACGGCATTCTGCATTCAAGATTGTTTGGTAAACTTATATCAACTTGCAAGACAAGTATGTTTACACGCATAATAATTATGTTGACATACGAGTCAGCAATTTTTAAGGGAATCTAATTTTAATGTTGGTTACTACATGATATAATGTCAGTAAACGATATCATTCAAAGGAGATGCAACAGAAACATGCCTACATAATTATCTTTCAAGTTGACGTTACTTAATCGCATGTCTAGGAATAATTAAAATATACTATGTATATCTTAATCATCAATGTAAACATATTTAGCTCCACCCTTGCCATGATCCCTGGGTATGTATAATTTTTTTTAAATATATTTTTACAGGGTCAGCTACTCTTTTCAACATACAATTTGCATGCTAAATAAGAAATTTATAATCCGTGGCTCTGCTGGGTCCAGAACTCTAGTTACTATAGTAGTTAGTCATTCATTAAAATGAAAAAAAGTTGAACATAACGAGCAGTGATGGATAGCCACAAAAACATGTCAAACGATACGAAGCTGTAAAAAGGGCATAATCACGGGACGCTGGGAGTTCAATACGAGGATCAGGTGCCTAGGAGGAGTAAGCATCCCCTGTTGTCCGGTCACAGCCATCATGAGCTCTATGTATTGATCAAGTAGACGAAGCGTTAGGCTACCTGGTAAAATGTAGTACAAAGGTCTAACAAATCGGTATGAACGAAGCCAGCCAGAATAGGACCCATGGATATGTAATTGATAATTTATATAAATTTTTACCTTTGTTCGGCACTTACGGACGTTGAGCAGTGAGGAATTTTTTTCGTAGCAACTCCTACAGCGACACGGGACCTTGGTGTCGTATCAAGTCCGCACGTCCTTCGGTGAGATTCGAAGGATCAACTCCTTACTTTGCGACTCTAGAGCAGACAACATAGATTTGTTACTTTACATCTCAAAGAAGCAAAACATTACTGCATAAATTATTGATAACATGCAACTTCATTTTGATTCATTTTATTTTTAAAATGCTGTACTTACCGTATTTACCTAACTATTATGACAAAATATTTTACATTCAGAACAAAACGCCTGAGGTCAAATCCAATTGTGTAAATGACTTAACATAATAAAATTATAGAGATATTAAATTAAATTTTTAAAAAAGTTGTCTGATTTGTTCTCGTCTTTTTCTTTGTTCCTCAGTATATGTATATTATGGCATACATGTATTTTGAAAAAATCTTAATCCTGAGAAATTTCCACAATCATGCAATTACTTTTACGCCTTGACGATTCCCTCGATACCCATGACGAACTAGTAGTTTCTTTAATGATAAAAAGATTCTCAAGTGAATTCACAATGTTGTACTTTTTTGTACATCCTAAAAGCGGTTAAATCTTCTTAATTAAATTACGTATTGATCAGGAAATCCTTAAACAGAGGAGCTTAGAGATAATTAAACAAATAAAAGTTTCTACGGAAGGCCATAAGTGACTTGATGTGACATCTGATCGGCGTCTTCGTAATGTTTACCATTTTCTGTCCATCGTCACCTAGCTACAGTAGTCTCAAAGGGGGCATTTTTGGCCTAAATTTTTTTACAGGTCTTGTCGGTCAGGAAATCGTTCTGGTTTATATGACAACAACAATATGTAACTTTGTTTACTTTTGCAGGTCCAATCAATGGGAGAAATGTTCCTAGGTTGTGTGACAAAGAAAAAATGGTGTATGATGAATGGCCCTGGATCGGTAATAGAAAAAATAAAGAAAATTTCACTTTACATAGACATAAGTGATTTATGTTTTTACTACGTATATCTGTGTAAAATTGGGGAAATTGAGAGTAAAATCTACTTATTTCAGTCACCTATACAAAAATTAACCATTTAGAGACTAAACTATAAAACTATATTTAGAGACTAAACCATAAATCTATATTTTTTTAATGTTAAAATTTAATCAATTTAGTAAATATATACTATAGATATTTTTTTTCATATTTTCATCAAAATGAAACATTTTCATAATTTCATGAAAAGGGGACACCAAATAAGCCTTTTGGACTCTATGTATGATGTTCTTTCTAAGATTTTTTTTTACACGTAGCCACTTGGAAACCATCGACATACACTTGTCCTATATCCGGTGGGTTTTCATTGAGAGTCATAAGTGGGCTGACAATGAAGGCAAGTCTTATTAAGGATAATTTATAAACCATTGCATTTATACACGGCTAATGTTTATTTTCTGGTGTGTTAATTACATTAGTAATTATGTAATATAAATTTTAACCAAGTACAAGTTTATAGTATGACATCTGTATCAGCACCTCTTTCTTAAAATACTTTCTTTAAAAGTACATCTTGTGACGAAAATTAATTATTCATGATTCGAAATTGTACTTTTAATTATTCAGGATACATGCGAAAAGGAATGGAGAAACTCTTCGATTGAAGTAGAATGTAGTAAGGGTGGTGGTATAGTCTTTATTTCACCATTGAAGAGTGAATGCAATCCATTTTCAAAGAATAATCCTGGTGCGTATTCCTATAACCTGTTAACTCAGTTGGTATTTGCTTTCTAAACAACTTGTTTTGTACACCATACAGAAGTTTTTGACATTATAGTCAATATGGGTGAATATGGGATTCTTTAGTGAATATGGGATTCTAAAATTTTCATAACTTGTAATTTGTAATCTTCAAGATTATTTTGTAATATTCTGATGTTGCACACAGGTATTTTGAATTGATATTGAAGATAGTGTATCTCCTACAAAATGACTTTGTAGTCTTTGAAAATTAGGTCTTCCATCATTTTGTTGGAATTCCTTAGCTGTTTTAAAATTGTTCTCCATTATTAAATGAAATGTTTTGGGTTGTTCACTCCTCCGTGACACCTGAGTACACCTCTTATGTTTTGGAGGTTTGTTTTCTCTGCTTCCCATCTGCATTGTTTACATGGATTTTGAGATTGGATACTGTTTGTTATCACCATAATTCTTGTTTTGTATTTTCATGTATAAGAATTTAAATATAAAAAAAAACTGCTTGAGAAGAAAAAAAAAAAAAACTTTCTTGACCTTTATTCAACATTTAGATATATCGACGACATTTTAATTCAATATATGTATTCAAAAGTAATTAGGGATGTCAAAATTGTCAGTATTTGAACTTTCAATATTTCATATTTGAACTTTCAATATTTCATAAAAATAATTGATAATATTATTTAATATATACATTTGTGGTATCTCTCCACTAATCTATATAAACATACAGAAAGAAAATATCTTCAATTCTGTATGAAGTTTGTCGGAGGTCAAAGGTCAATACATGACCGAATCACACGGCGCAATAATATCTACCCGGTACATAATTATAAAATGACCTGCTCTACTTGCTTTTCATGTATAAAAATGAATAAAATAAGCAAGTTAAATGATAATTATTTTATTTTAAATGTAAACAAGTATTTCATACAGTTTTTGGGCTATCGATTCAACCTGTGTACATAGAGAAAGCTAGGAGCCTAGCGTTTGTTTACATTTTTCTTCACTTTTGTCAGCTGCACAGTCTCTAACGTTCATCCTTATTTTTTGGATAGACCTTTGGTTAAATTTTCATGATAAACTTTTATTTTATCTTTACATTTTACTCACGATAAATGTGTAAATCTGTTGGAAAATATCTTTGCAATCATGCCATGAACAACTGCCAAATACCTCGGCGTTTTCGTAGTTCAATGTAAAGCTGTCGCCAGTGTCTCCGTGTTTATCAGTGTTTTACGATAAGTATTTTAGTTACTGAAACCGTAGAATGTTTTTGATCAAATTGCAAATTAACTGGCCCGGACAACATGTCCATCGGATCCATCCATCCCTTTCCAGCGACCGAAATTCCTCCAACTTTTTATCATCAAACTTCGGACGTGTTTCTTGTGTCTTTTCAGCATCGATTAACATTTTTCACGAATAAAATACTCCCAGACAACAATCTGTTCACTATTACTGATCACAAGTAGCCTTTCACAAAATATTCCCTTCGAAATAGATTCCTTAGCCTAATGAATTTGAAGCGTAACCGCCATGCAAGCCGATTTACATCTTGCGTCATTTTTCAAAATCTACGACGGACGGTTAGTGCAATAATTTAAATTCGAAAATATTCAATTGTCTGTCTCAAATGTATATATAAGTAATAAATCAAAATAAACTGTCAGTATTTGAACTTTCAATATTTCATATTTGAACTTTCAATATTTCATAAAAATAATTGATAATATTATTTATTAAATTTAGTCTACGTACATAATTACGAGTAGTTTATATAAGAAAAAAAATGAAAAATCCAAATAATTAATAGAACGAAGAATGACAGCAATTTCAAACGGAGATAACGAACAGTATTCAAGACCAAAAGTCCTCCAGAACATCGGAGGTTGGGTCAGGTGCCATGGAGGAGTGACCATCCCCTGCTGACCGGTCACACCCGCCGTGTACTCCTTGTCATGATTGGGAGAGAACGGGGAAATCCGTCGTCAATCCAGTGTTTAAATAATGGACTTACAATTGGTATGAAAAACGTCAGTCAGCACTTGACTCAATGGCAAATTGTATTTGCTGACAAGGTCATTATATCGACCATAAAACTTACGAAATGATGACTTTAAACGAGATGAATGATTTAAAGATCTGATTGATTTTAATTATATTATTTATCTTAATTTGGTATGGGTTCCTGATAAATATATGGGTTCTTACATGCTTGATATAATCTTTTTACACAAAAACATAAACACATATATTTTCTGATAAAAGTGAACATTTATTAAGTTCTATGGTCGATACAATGTCCTTCTCAGCAATTACAATTTATCATTGAGTAAAAATGCTGACTAACGTATTTCATACTTACTATAAGGTCATTATTTACACATTGAATTTTCGATGGATTTTTCCGGTATTTCTCAATCATGACAAAGAGCACAGGGCGGGTGTGATCGATCGAAATGTTCACTCCTCCATGGCACTTGATTCCATCTCTAATGCTTTAGATGTCCGTGTTTGCTCTCCTCCAATTTTGTATTGTTTATTGGACTTTTAAGCTTGAATTCTGTACGTTATCTTCATAATATTTCATCATTAACATAATTTTCTTACCCCTTAAGGTCAAGACTAATTTGAGACATTTTTTTGAAACATAATCAATTTCAACTTTCTTTTTCCCGTACTTTACGGCTTTAGCAGAATTATGATATATTTTCATGTCATTCAATTTTCATATGAAAAGTAAACCGGATACCTATATTAAATTTGATATTGATTTAAAGAAGAGGCCATGAAAATTACCGTTTTCTGAGAGACTGTAGGCAATATGTACATTTTCTTTGATATTCCCATATTCATGACTGCTTTTCTTCATTTTTCATTGAAAATGACAGTTTAAAATACAGTTTTTCATCTTGAAACCGTTATTGATTTTAAAGCATCAATAAAGGTATTTATTTCTCAAGTTTGATAAATCTGTAGGCACCTTTCATTTACTAGATCTTGACCTTAAGACTAAGAAAAACATAATGGACGAATTGAAATAAGCATACTTTTTTTTTTCAAAATCATTGAAAATTACCATTGAGGTCCCGTTGATATAATTAAAAAGAAAAAAAGTGAAACCGTATTGATTTTAATTCAGTTTGCAACACTGTCCATGCTAGGAATATAACATTGTATTTAGTAATTGATAAGTGTGATCAGAGAGATAGAATTTGAACATTATAGCAAGTTTTCAATTTTGTTATTATATATTAGAAATTAAATTCATGTAATATTTGCAACCTTTGTTACCAAAATTAGCCCAAAAACATTTTTCAATTCAAGTATTCATTTTTCATTTGTAACATCTGTCCTTAGCGAAGCCCATATCTGCTAAATTAAGACAGTCAATTTTAACTGAAATAATACCATTGTAAAGTGATAAATTCTTCTTGATTCTTTGAAAATTTTATAAATTTTTGAATACAATAAATATGTAAGGATTCATTGAGAAAAGCTATAGGCATATTATGCTCCCAAATTCTAAAAATCCTTTTTAAAAAGATAAATTGGAAACTAGAACACGTTTTATCAAAGTTTTTTTTAAATTTTAGTTTCAACAATACATGACATGTATCTAGAAATATGTTTATCAATTCGTTTTCAGTAACAACTCTACATTGTTGGGCTGGCTGGAGGCAGGAGAACTTTACTTACATGATCGTGTCATCTCAGAGAGAATCTGAGTACTACAACGAACCACAGTTTTGCATAGTTTGTATTTTCTGGCTGAAAATGTAAAGTTTATAAATTACTTCAATTTCTATTTTATACAATTCATAGAATGGCTTTATGAACGTGTGTGACTCACAATACATTAATTTATCACATACCTGATCCCACCTCTGATGGTTTGGAGGTCCGTGTTTTCTCTGCTCCTATTTTGTATTGTTTTATGGACTTTTGATATTGAATACTGTTTGTTATATCCATATGTTTCATACCTCTTTCTCTCTCTCACTTCTTTACAGCGCTTTCCTAATACACTTTCTGAGAATTTTGAGGCCTTCGTTTATGTCAGTGTTATATGTCCAACAGACAGGGACGGGCTGGCACCGCCTGGTATCAACTATTTTAAGCTTAAAATGAAGAAAATAAGTAAGTCAAGACATTTGATTTTTTATTTTCTTAAATGAGATTTAAATACAATAATATCGAATTTAGCTTCATAAATGATAATATGCAATTGTTACAACATGGTGTACATTATCCCTGTCAACATGCAATTTATTTAGTTGACAAGGGTGTTTCAATTCCTTTTATATTGAAAGTCATTTGTGCATGACATAATGTAACTCATTTTTAATGCATACCGATTTAACCAAGCCACTTGGTAGCATAGCATAATAAGCTACTTTGCAAGCAGGTTGACATAGATTAATTCCTTGATGCACGTGTATATATCGTCTTTTGATTTTATTTCAACTTGTCCTAAGATATAATAATATTTTGCTAATTTCATTTGCTATGTTTTGCCAGGAATAATTATTTTTATGAAGATTACCTCACAATAAATGATTTAAACAGGAACGTACCACCAAGTATTAACAAATTAACATTTAGATAATGCAGTATGTGAAGATGACAACGAAGAAGAATGCAGCAAGTTAAAAGATTCTGGAATGTGTGACCATCCCAAAACAGGATTTTATCGACATTGTCTAAAAACCTGTGGAGAATGTGGTATGGAAATTACAATAAGAAAAATGCTGTCAATAATATCCACTTGGCACAAAATGTAAAACTCTTTCTATAAAATGATTTTAAAATATTTGTTTAAGTGCATATTTTTAATGAAAAAAAATTCAAATATTTCAAATATACATATGTATTCATAAAATCAAGCACTAAAATGACCACAAATTGAAACTATAAAGATTTGTAAATTTTCAGGAAGCCTTGTCCCTTTCTAAAGAAAAAGAAAAGTCATTATGAAAAAAAAAACATGAATAAAAAAGTAAAGCATTACAACTTCAACACTAAACGCAATTTATTTACAATTTTATAGTTTTTACATTTTAAATTTCGATATTGAAAACTAGTTATACAGTGCCATTGTGACCTCCTATTTTACTTTTTGATCTGACACTTATTTTGGGTCTCCCAGTGCAGAACATGGACTTTTCCAGTATAACCATTGGGAGGTGGGAGTGTCATTATAGTGAGCTTATTGCTCATAGTCCCTCTAGTTTAGTTTGTAAATGACATCAAGGCAGAATGACTTAAGCCTGTGTATCCAGAATTTTTGTATGATTTTTCTCTGAGCATCTATTTTGTGTCATGGTCAATAACCACTACCAACACGTCCAATTTGGGACCTTCAAGGTTGAACTATTCTCCCACTTGTTTCTCAGTTTAAGTAGTCAAACGGTGATCATAATTTCTCTAACAGAGATCTCCTGTTTCCCAAGATAGTCTGAAAAAAAACCTTTCTGTTGATCAAAAATGTGCAATTGTGTGTTCAACAGGACAAATTCCCTCGTATTCTGTCACTGTAACAGAGCTGTTAAAGCTGTGTGTGCCAGATCTTTCTTTACAAGGAAACGTCTTCTGTCAGAGCATTTTTACCAGCCATCTTAAGACGGGTTATACAATCCGGTTCTTCGTATCACATCCTTTTTAAGTTTCTACAGCCAGCCAATGAAGGTTCATGAATCCTCCTTAAGTCTTTCATTGAAGTGAGAAATGAGCATGTTCTTTAGGAATATAGTTAGGGTCGTAAATGAAGGTATAGTACGTGGTTACCAGAGGAACCCTGTTGTTTCTCATTGTAGCGTTATGCCCGTCGGCTGAGTCCTTCTCACTGTAGCCTAAAATCTTTTAGCTTTTATCCTGCCATCTCATCATTAGCGGTTTGTAGCTAATCTAACTTGGACTTCAGGAGATAACTGTGTTTCTTACAAAGGGCAAAGATGAATACTAGTAGTTGGGACGAATTCTGGCGGCTACACCCTCAGCACACTTCTGAAACTTAAAGGAGGCATGCGAAGTTGTAGAAAAATAAACCCTATTGGACACTCCACATAAAAAAGGCAATATTAACAAGACATCCTTGATTAGTCTTCCAGATACTACCCTTGTTGTGACTTTGGATGTTACATCTTTGTATAATCACATCTAGTACGGTGACGGTATTGAAGGTGTAGAGAAATTTCGGACAGTAGGTCTACACAAACTTTTTCTGCTGAGTCCCATGCAATGCTACGTAAACGTATTCTCAAGAGTTATTATTTTATATTTGAGAGATTATAACTAAGAAGTCAATCTTATGCAAATGTTTTCATGCTCATACTTGATAATTACTCCAAGCACCGCTCAGATCACTTACTACCTAGCTGGAGCGTTTCATTCACGATAAAAAGATGAAGTGCATGGAATGCCACGAAAGCTTATGGGCTTTCACTTCTTCTATTATACAACATCTTGCATCAGTCTATCAAATTTACTTTAAACGTATCAAAATCCAAAAAAATAAATTTTAGATACTACATATACCCTAATTGATGGCAAAATCAAATTCAGTCCCCATACGACTTCACCGATTAGCACCTAGCCTCCCTCCTCGCATTCAAAGGTATTTTTGGGGGTCTAGCCACCAGAAATCATTCGTCACATCTGTTCATCTCTGCTTTGTATCAGGAACATTGAAGTCTTCTGAAGTCCCATTTATGTAAGACTGGCTACAGACCGCTATTGATGAGATGACAGGACGCGGACCAAAATCATCTATGCTACCATGAGAGAGAGAACAGCAACAGGGTATAACGCTACGACGAGGAAGACAATAACAGCAGATTCCTTCTGGGAACTACGTACCATCCTTACTTTAGCCGTTATCTTAAAAGTAACATGCTAATCGCCTCTCCAACATTTGTCCAAAGAGAAGTACAGAAGTCTGTCAGGAACCTCTAGTGACTGCTGATTGGCACCCGATGAACTTGAAGGATAGGAATGGCAGTAAGAGCCAAATTCAGTCAAATGTTGGCTTACATTTTTTCATTCTAATTGTTAGACCATTACTTACACACTGGATTGTCGACTATTTTTCTCGTAATTTTTTTTTTTGGTTTATGACAAGGAGCGCACAATGGGTGTGACAGGTCTACAGGGGATGCTCAGTCCTCCATGGTATCTTATCCGACCTCTGATGTTTAAGAAATCCATGTTTGCCCTGCTCCAAAATTTGTATTGTTTTCAAAGGATTTTCGTACTTGAATACTAATTGTTATCTCCATTTATTTCATTGGACAACCCGTTCCCTAAGAGGGGCTAATACTACTATGAAAGAAGATGCCTTCTCTGTGAGTACATGTCTTACATAGACAGCTTTAATAGCCTATTACTGGCTACAGCGACAGAATACTAGGGAATTTGTCCACTAGTACAGTAATTTGCTTTGAACTCAACAGCTGTAAGATTTGCTCCAAACAGTATTTTGTGAGAAACAGATTATCACAAGAGAATGAATGATCACCATTCGACCATTAAGATGAAAAAAGTCTTTAAATCAGTTGAGGAACTTTTTGACCTTGAAAGTCAAAAATAAGAGAACATGGCAAAAGTGGTTATTGTCTTATTGGCCATAAGCAAAGCAAAGTACATGTATCAACAAACTTAATGACTCCACCAAGTTAAATTCAAATAAGGTCACCCTGTTTCACGATGACAAAGAAGACTATACTCTCAACATAGTGTTTACTACCCAATTAATTGAAATTAATTTTTTTTTAATCTTCTTCTACTTGTGTTATACGTTTTAATTTTCTTTAACTTCGTTTCATTTTAGTTTCTTACTGATTTTATTTTATTTAGTAGCACGATGTTGGGTAAATACAACTTATACATTTTTTTTACTTCTTTATGACAATCAAAAAGCGATAATTAATTCGCTCATTTATGTTAATTACACTGCACCACAGGAGGCTGGACTGACCGGATGTGCCTTGTAATGCTCTGAATTCAAATAAATTAGTTTTCAACATCAAAATCTTAAAAATTAATTATATAAGTTTTTAGTAGCGTATTATTGTGAAAGATATTTTTGCCTCACTTGTTTTGTCTTTTCATTACATTTTCCACGTTTCATGCAAAATTTGTGTGACGTTATAAAGAGATTTTTGAAAACTAACTTTTTTAAAAGAATTTCAACAATAAGTTAACTTCCTTCGCCTACACAATAGAATGTTGGACGAAATGTTTTCAATTTTTGTTACATTTTCTATGTCTTTAACTCATATTAACTAACTGGTTATCTGAGTAAAGCTCGTATTACAGAAGGTGATATCCTTTCTTTTCAGATGAAAATTCATCTTCACGGAAGACATGCTCATTCAGTTCCAAACTTTTTGGAAAATGGAAACTAATTGAGCGAAACCGAATGGAGAAAATTGTTATAAATTCCTCTCATGTCGATTTTTCTGAGATGGGGGCGTTCCAGTGTTACCAACGGACCCCCGACGAGCACCAGTACACAGTCACCACAGCTTATAATAACGGATGGTATGAGAGAGAGATTGTTGTTGTGCATACTACAGATTTCCTTTTACTTCAGACATATACCAATATATTATTATTTTGGGAAGAATAGCTCATTTTATTTTTGTTTTGTAAAAAGAGAACTATGCTACTAAATGATGATTGCATTACTTAACTTTATTATTTGGCGTACCTTGGCTAAGTTTACATTAATGATACAATACATCTATGGATACATACTTCTAGTATTTGACTCGCTTCGGATGTTTGGTTTGATCTACATCATCAAAATTGTAATTAAAATCCAGCATCTGAAAACAATTTGAGACGTTTATTCCTTGACAATATCGGTGTATACTCAATGTAAACACGCAATGTACAATGTAAGCTACGGTCAAATTTTACAATCTATGTTGTATTCTGTTAAATCTGGGGAAGAAACAAACAGTCTGCAAGCTCTAACGTCCATTCAAACAATACAAATCAGGAACTGAGCGTACACGGACCTCTCTTAAACATCAGTGGTGGGATCAGGTGCCATGAAAGAGTGAGCTTCCTCTGCGAGCGCTCACACTGTCGTGTGGTCCTTGACATGATGGAGAAAAATGAAAAAAAGTAGAGTAATTCGTGTGTAAATAATGATCTAACAATTAGTATGAAGCAATTTTAGTAAGCATTTGACTTAATGCTCTAAAATTCATATAAAGTTCAGTAATTAGGTTTGTACTCTAATTATATAAAAGTGCTTTATAATGATATAGTTAAAAAGATTATTAACAACTTTAACAACATAATAAGAGAATGATTATGTTTTGTTTCATTGTTTCACTTTTTCGTTAAGTTTTTTTCAATAATATCCTATGTAATGAAATGAATTTAAACACCGAAGAAATTGCACCATATTTTAGAGATTTTATATATGCATCATTTTCGACCAAAATAAACCTAAAAATGTATACCATTCTATGCACCCAGATGTTTCTAGTGTTCTTATATGAGTCTGTTTGTGTTACTGTTCAATCGTCTGATCAATGTCATTAAATCATGACCAAGGTAATGAGTGGTTGGAAAATGTTTATTTAAAAAAAAAATTTTTTTTTAAATTTTGCTGATTTTATAAATCATATTTTCATGACATGTAGGACATCAAATATATCAAAGGTTTTAGGACAAACATAACGGTTGATTGTCCTATACTTACAGCTCGAGCAGGTACTCATGCATCGAATTAGAAAGACTCGGCCATAATATTCTTCGATACAGAATCGGTAAGAGTTTTGTAAACATAATGTATCAAAGAAAATAAACTCTCTTTGTCTTTCGAAAAAATACACAAGGTTTTGTGGGGAATTCTTTTCTCTTCAAAATTATATTATTTGTGTTTAAATCTTCGTGATACATGTATGTGTTTCCTCTGAAACCCAAAGTATAGATGGTAAAAAATGTTAAGAGTAAAGTTTTCTGTATCGTTATGAAGAAGTTGATGAACAATTACATTATTGTTTTAGGTCCTAGTGTTCGGGAGAACCAGCCTTATGAGTCTCTTTGCCAGTTTAGAGATGACGACTTCCCCCTTCTGGATACCTACCGCAGCAGTGCCAGGAAAACACTTATCTGTAGGTCTGCAAGTCAACAGAACGAAAATATTATATTATAAAACGATTTCAACGTGAATTTATACTTTTAAATAATCTAATTTCACTAATCTATAGCTAATCACATTTTACATTCTACATTATTCACATGTAGAAAATCTCTGATAATAATCCCGGCTTGAAAAGTGGGAGGGTATTGGGATGTCCGTCCATCTGTTGTGCTTTTGGGGTACCCATCTCTTATCCATAACTTCTCTTAAACCACTGAATGAAATTTAATGAAACTTTCACGTAATGTTTATCACAATGTTCCATTGTGCACCTCTTGTTTTCATTTTTGATTGGACACATAGGGGTTCCCATAGGAAAACATTGACACGGCATTCTTTCTATGATACTGAAGGGTACCCATTTCTTATCTGCATAATGATCCTTTCACAGATTCTTTATTACATAATGTCATTGTGAACCTCCTATTTTACTTTTTTATCTGACACTTACTGAGTATTTTGAGTCTCTCAAAGTTAAACATGGACTTTGTCATTATAATCAAATGGGAGGCAGGGGTATCATTTATTGAGCTCATTGTTCACAGTACCTCTACTATGTTTTGGATTTCCAGATGATGATGGCCTACTGTTAGACTCGTACTGTGGGTTTGAAGGACGGTTCATGTTTAATGGGACATATGGAGGACGACAATGTTTAGGGATGATCTCTGATGTAGATTCAGACACGTGTAACACGGTGGCCACCCTAACAGTCCACGGCAAAGATTGTCAGGGGGTCACTGGGGCTAAACGTAAGGGACAGATTTCTAGAGAGACAATAAGTCTTTAAGAGCTTTTTAACTTGCTTTAAATTGTAAATTTATAACATTGTTATTCTTTGTAATAGAGTTGAATATTTGCATGAAAAAGACCAACGTAACCCTTTCACCATTTTTTTTCTCTTGATGACAATTGTGGGATTTCAGATGCACTTCTAAAAAGAATGTTCCTAGACCTTACACAATATATATATTATAGAAATATTGCATTTTAAATTCCACGAGGCCTCTAGGATAATATGACATATGATTTGTATGTGGTATACTATTTATCATATGCTTATTATTTAATATTATTAGCATAGTACTCGTACGTCAGAAATATCTTAAGACCAGTTAAAGTAAAGTGTTTTTAGGGAGTAAAACTATGGAATAGGTAGATATAAGCAATAATATTGCACTGGCAAGTAGTTCTTTGTACAAAGAATTGTTTTATATCGTTTATGTGTAATGTTCTTTTTTTTCTTTCGGCAGAATACCAATGTTTGCGATACATTTACAACACAAGTTCATTGTTTGAAAAGTACCTTATAACAAAATCAAAAGACGAAGCGGAGGAATACAATTGTTGGGTAGATATTATTTGCAAATCGACTGCTTTAGTTTTGTAAGAATAAAAAGGAAAAAATACATTCACTTTGGTCTCAAACAAGAAATAACAGCACAACCATCCTAGCTGAGACTTGGTCGTAATTTCCATTGAAGTATATCGCTGTATAAAAAGATAATAAAGCTATTATATTTACATTTTTTGTAATGCGAGATTTATTTGGAGACTTTCACTTCATATAGAACTAGAGGCTTTCGGGAACTTAGCTTCCTGAGGCCATGTCACGATTTTGCTCCTGACCTTAGCCGCCAGACCCCCTGTCTTGACTAAAATAAGAGGAAAACATGGATTCTGTATTTTGTTAAGAGAAAACATGCTTTTGTTGAGGGATTAACCACCAAACTAAGTTAGAGTTGTGTTTCTTCTAATGACATAAATACCTGTTAAGGACGGGATATTACTTTTTTTTTTGTCCTTTTCACTGACGGAATGCACGTTAGGTAGTAATTAAAACTTTTTAATTACTTAAAATTCTCAAAACAAATAGGCTATTAACTCAGTTTGTTTAAAGTCCCTTTTAAGAATATTTCACTTATAATGAGACGTTACCACTTGCCGATGGAGAGCAGCATATTTTTAGACCTATACTTGGGACTCAGGGCCAGTGAGCAGCTAGTGGTATTTTTTCGTACTAGAAAATACTGCCACACTGCACCTTGGATTACACAGTTTAAGGACTATAGTGTTCAGGCATGTCTCGCAATGGGATTCGAGCCCACGACGTAAGTTTTATCTCCTAACTCTGCGACGAGATGCTGGGATTTCTATGCCACGCGACATGCCACGCAGACGACCAGTTGTACATGTATTCAATTATGCTTGTGTACCCCTTCAGCTGAAAGGATGTGTATTGACGTGTTTCATAATTATTTGATTTTGTAGTGTTAATTGCAATCGTAAAATATTGTATACCCCATGCTGAAGAAAAGTGCATGCCATCTACTTATTTCAAAATTAATTCATTTATAGAATGACATATTTGTTTTTTAAATCTTAAAATTACTATTATCCAGCTAGTTATAAATTTGCATGAAATTTTGATTTACAACAACGGAATTATATTTTATTTGATTTCTTGGAAAATTCCATGTATTAGTATTTGAAGGTTAACGAGACCGGATGACTGCAAGGATCGGCCAGAATGCTTTATATTGTCTTTAATCAAATTCAATCTAAAGTTGAAAGTGATTAGCTGACAAATTATGTAATTATTTTCAACTTTAGCTATAGTTGCTTCTATTTCTAGATCAAAGTAATTTTTTAAACAGTAAATTGAACCCCCCTCCCCCTTAACTGAATGCATCTGGAGAAAATCCTTGTTTAATCAACTTTTGTGATGTTAACATTTTAATTATTAAAAGATATCCAAATGGAGAAGCACGCGACTTCAATACATGTATTAAACTTTTGTTACATTATATTTAATACTGGATTTGTAATTAAAATAAATTAAAAATATTTAAAATCAAATAAGTAAGGAGAGTTAAGGAGGATATGATAAATTTTCGGAGGAACTCTTTGCCGTCACATAAAACATGTTCCTGCTTCAAATTTTCAAGAAATGAATAAGATGTTTTTTCAAAAGAAACCAAAATATTTTTATACCCGTTTTTTCAACAGCTTGATATTTTTTTTTCATATCCTCGATGATGACCTCAACAAGTTGAAAATAGACCCTGTTGAATATTGACCCCACCTCAGAGTTTGAACATTTTTTGAACAAGTTTTTATATATATCAGTATCTCTATATTTATATTTCGAATTTCAATTTTTCCCTTTTAAACCGAATATCTAGAAATAAACCTATCATCCCGTTATATTGTACATTCTAATCACTACACGATTTCAAGTTATCTTCAAGTGACTTTTTTTTTTGACAAGACTTACTTTAAATATATCTATATATAAAAAAAATAGGGCATAATAAATGAAATCTGTTTCTATAGAAAGGAGCATCAGTATATAATATTATATTGATCAGGTGGGCAGAACATCCCATCTAGCCAAATTCAGTATAAAAATTAACAAATTAAAAGCCTAAAAATTAAAATGAAACACATCTGTCAAAATGAATCCAATAATAGGTCATATTTGTAAAAAGCGACCATAACATGTAAGTATAATGCAAAGTTGGTGAAATCCCTGTAACAAACTTATCTGTAACTTTTGTAAAAATTTACTTTTTAACCTTTCTGGGATGGTTAAATACAGTACTTTTGATCTTTGATATCAACAATAAAAAAACGATTTTCCCTGCAACTTCCAGTGACTTCTTTTGATCTAAACAACTAAAAAGCCAGTCCACTTCAGAGAGAGAGAGAGAGAGAGAGGATGTTTTTTCAAATGTGTCAAAATCCTCTGAAATATAATCAGAAAAAACCATAAACAAAATAAAGAAACGAAACAAACAAACAAACAAGCAAACAAAAAGTAGAAAGGGAAGCTAGCCAATGTTGAAACCAAACCATGTTTCTCAAATTGGATGGAAGGTCCGTTTCAATGTTATATTTTGGCAACTTTATTACAAAAATTAAATAATGCTGAAAGTCAGGGTTCTGTATCTAAGGCAAACATTTTTTGATTAAAAAAAACTACAAAATGAAGAAAACAGCCCGGTCCCAAATACATAAAAATTCTTCAAATAAAAAAATCCCAAAATCATCCCCTTTTACATCGTCTAACTAACAAAATAAATATGTATTAATTGTGAGGTTCGTTCTTTAACTGTTTGATTAACTGTGCGAAAAAGATTACTAAACCTTTTATTTTGAACTGTTTGATTAACTATGCGAACAAGGTCACTAAATCTTTTATTTTGAAAAAATCCGGTTTTCAATCTGGACATTAAGTTATTAATGTTGTGCATAACTAAATAAGCATTAAAACGTACAGCAGTGGGGGGGGGGGGCTAATTGAAAAAAATATCAAATCTGAAAAGAATTGACAAGAAAAAGAAAAGTTGTCCATTGTCCAAACGAGTAGTCTTAACCCGAAAATCCTATTGGGGGTGAATGGATCACTTTTTTTTAAAAGCACTACCACCATAACTCTTCTTTCTTTGACTACACTGTAACGTGGAAATAATAAACAAATTTCACATTGTTCAATTCTTATGTGTATAAATAATAGGACTTAACCCCCACCCCGTTCCCGACACCTATGGATTAAATCAGAGTTGTGAAACCAAGTCATAAATATGTGTTTTTATGCTGTTGAATTTTGAACCGGTTTCTTGATCAAAATTCCACGACCCGGCTCAGTTTTCAACGGACTAGGGTCTAAATTCAACGCATTTGGTCTCACTTTTCAACGTTGAAAAATGACCCCCGGGTCAATTTTCAACCCGGGTCAAAATTCAACGTTACACCGTCACATAAATCATGTTCGCTTCAAATAAGAAATGAATAAGATTCAAAAGAAACCAAAAATATTTTTATAGTTAAGGGCTACAAAACCTCGAGATCTGCAGATTTTAAAATACATTGTGCAATTATCTGTATATATTAGCACATATTTAAGTTTTAAGAATTTCTTTGAAATTCTTTTAAACCGATATCTAGAAATTAGTCTGTTTACACTATCAAAGCGAAAAAAGTCATGTGATATTTTTTTCTGCCAGAAATATACTTTACAATATATCTTTTATATAAAAAAATCGTTTAATAAATAAAATGTACTATAGAAAGGACATCAGTTTGAATTGTATCTCCGTACGTGCACTACATCAGGTAGTATAACTGATCAATATTAGATGTAGGTGTCTAATTAACAAATTTTTTCTTGACCACAATAATAATCAGAGATGTTTTGAAATTACCTGGACAAATTATAATTAGCTTTTGTTTTACTTTTTTTCCAGGTTAAATACAGTACTTTTGAATACAAGTACGATTTTCCTCAGCAAGTGATTTACAAAATGCCCACCCCTCAGTGTGGAATGTTTACAAATGTCCTTGCACATCACGACAGACATGCAGATGCAGAATTATTTCTAAAAGGTAAAGATATTGATGTAAACGGACAGGATTTAATTTGTATCCCAATAAGCTGTTAACTCTCAGCTTCATAGGCAATCATAGTAATTCAATTTTTTTAATTACAAGATTTGATCTAGTTCATAAAAATGCAAAGAAAAGAATTGCAAAGGAAGGCATCGGGTATCAAACTTCTGATAACTTCAATCTGGCGGACTTAGTTAAAAGATCAAATTATTACATGAAACATATGGAGATAACAACAGTATTCAAGCTCAAACGTCCATAAAGCAATACAAGATAGGAGCAGAGCAAACACACGGACCTTTAAAACATCCAAGGTGGGATCAGGTGCCACGGAGGAGTGAGCATCCCATGCAGACCGGTCACAACCGCCATGCGCTCCCCGTCATTAACGGGAAATAATAGAAAAAAATCCATCGTCAATTCAGTGTATAAATAATGGACTTATAATAGATATGAAAAACGTCAGTCAGCTTTTGACTCAATGGTTTTCGATTGTTTTTACTGACAAGCTCAATGTATCGACCATAGAATTTACGAATTCATTACTTTAAAGGAGACTGCTAAAACTCTTGTTTCATCAACTTGTTTGTCATAAATTTACCTCGTTTTAGATATTATTCATATGTTGAGAATGACCTTGCGTATCGAATCAACTGAGATATAAAATCTCCGTATACAGGTGATGAAGGTTTGCTGCATAGATAAGGGAAATTGACGATAGAAAAGTTAAAGTCATCATGTTTATCATAGAGCTTGGATGTTAGATTACCATTAATGTCTTTTTCAAGTGAAATATTTAAGCATCGAAATCATATTTTTGGATGTCGTCGGTCCTATAACACACCTGGCCGTGTCGACAAATTGAATACCGCGCGTTAGCGCGGTATGATAATTTGTCGGCACGGCCAGGTGTGTTATAGGACAAGATTATAGTTTCTGAATTAAATTCAGTCAAAACTATGTACATTTTGATGCTCTGGAGTATTGAAAATGTATATAGTTCCTACTGTGTATTCGAAAGCGCGACCACAAGGTTTGGTGTGTGTTATAGAGATTTGAACGCCTTGGATTTCTAATGGATTTCATAAAGAAAATTACACTGAATGTAAATATTCAGCTTTAAGGCGTGGTATTCAATTTGTCGGCACGGCCAGGTGTGTTATAGGATCGACGACATCCAAAAATATGAATTCAATGCTTAAGCAAAAATAGGTCTGCTAATAAGGGGGCGCAATTGGTACCCATTGGAATTCCAATAAATTGTTGGAAGACCTGGTCTCCAAAAACAATATAGATATTGTCAATTAGAAACTCAAGCATCTTTTTGTTGTCAACTTCAGAGTACTTGTGTGTACAATCAGAATGTTTTTTAACAAACCAAGTTTGCAAATGACCAATGACAAGATAAGAAAATTTACGAGTTCCATTTTATTGAAAAAGCAGCTGTCAATGATATCAAAAAGCCTGGACTTTGATTTATCGTGGGAAATGGTTGTGTATAAAGTTGAAAACTTGTCAGTTTTTAAGCTGTTGATTTTTGTAAAATCTTATTATTTCAAATTGTCCAAAAGGTCCTTGAAATTTTTAAGTATCTACAACTGATTTACACCACTTTATAATATTGCACAGTACTCTTGAAGTTTCTCCTTCATTCCTGTTTATCTATAATATATGAGTATAGAAAGAGGCTTGGTTGAACATTTACTTGTGCTCGCTATGTATCTTTGTAAGGATTCTTATGAAATTTAGGAATCCAATATATATATGGTAGTTCAAATTCATTTTGGTTCCTTGGGATATTAGAAAGGGAACTAAAAGTTTTAGTTGGATTACCACTTGTAGAATTAAATCTACGTTCTTCTAAAATACAATTCATATAATGAGCCTTACAAACGAAGACATGTTACCTGCTTTGACAGCAGGGACCAGTATGTACTGATCATGTAATCTATCTAATTCTTTTTTCACTTCTGGATTATTGAATACAGAAAGATAGATGGTTTTCATGTTGCCCCTTAATCTTTCAATGCGCGATTTTAACATGGATCAGATATATTTAATCCATTCTGACAAAGTGTCAACGTCTTTTTTTCCATATCTGGTCCATCGTCTGGCGTAATATTCAACCAACAGAATCCATAATATTTATGAAATCCCGACGCCAGTTGAAGGATTGGGGTTCAAGTATTAAGGACCTTTTAAAATAAGTGATCTAAGGTCCTCATTATTAACTATATTTACATCACCTGTAATAACGTGTCCAGCAAGACTATAGTTATAGGGTGAAGAACATGAACACGATGGAGTTTGTGTTTCAGATACTCTATATCCAGGCCATGTTTTTTTTTTTTGGTAATTGAAAAGTTTGGAAGCAATAGTCTATGCATATTTGTAAGAAATACAAGGTGTAGTCTTTAACTTGAAATATGGTGGAATATAAGACTGGACCCTTTTATGATTAAGAATATTACTTATATTAACCGTGTCAATTCCTTTAGTGGCATATTGAAGTTTAAGGAAAAGACGGATTGTTTTAGCTGCATTTTTCTTCAGTAAAACGTTGGGGTTTTCATGTAGAAGGGTCCAGATTCCATTTATGAAACTAGAAAGGTTCTGTTGTATAAACGTTAATAAAGAATGGAGACTTTACCCAACATGTTCAAAAAAATATTTGTTATGGCTCTTTTCAAACCACTTTCCACTATATATGCTTTACTGTCTGTTAAAAATCTGTTAATATTCCTTTGCTCACTTAATTAAGTTATGAATTTCAGCATTCCTCTGTCCTTGACCTAAGAATTACTCAATAGAAGGTTGAAAAGAAAAGATGACGTATTGCCAGTCTCATAACTCATTCAAAAAACATGAATGAATTATCAATTTATACATTTGCATTGCAATTAAAATCAGAGGTTTATTGAGTAGAATAAATTATATGATACAAACCCTCCTGTTGCTCTCTGCTGTAAACAACAACTTAGCCTTGCTCTATGGAAATGCAATCTATGTTGAACCGCAAAACCGGAAGCGACGGTGTAGAATTAGAATATTATTGCCATACAGAGAATGATTAATTAGACTCATTTACGCAAAAGGAACAGTAAGAGGCACATGATCTATATGTTTATGAATTTTCCGCGCGTTTTTGGCAATCTTTTCATGCTTTTTCGTTTATTCATTTCGTGCAAAAATTTATCATTTTGCGCCGTTCCATTTTTTTTTCGTTTAGGTTTAATACTCATTTAATTCTTAAAATTTATGTAATTGCAAATGTTGAGATTGTTTTGCCATCTTGGATGTACATAGATATGGAATACAGATTCAGCATACCTATATACTGGATTCTGAAAATTCTGGCAAAGATAAATTGCAGGTTCTAGTAAATAAGGCGGCAGGGCAGTATCTTAACTCAATAAAAAAATGTATAAGGGCTGGAAAAGTCGTTGGCATTTGTGCTATAATATGTTGAAGTAGTCGAGTAAATCTTTGAATTCTTAAAATCGCCAAAGAACTTTATGAAAAATAAAGAATAATTTTTCTTAAATCAATTACGTTAAGGCGAACTTTTCAAAACTAACCATTTCTAACCATCAATTAAAGATTAGGGATCCATTTCACAAAAGAACTTACGCCAAAGACAAAAAAAATGAAATTTATCAATTGCAGAATTGATTATTCTTTGATAGATTGCTTCATAAAAATGTTTTTTTTAATTTCTTTTAAAAAGAAAAATTGAAATTATTTTGAAATTAATTTGAAAAAGTCATTTACAAAATTACATCTGTTCTTTTCTAAAAGGGGTTCCTAGCGTTTTGACTTCTACAGAGCTACCTCTGCGATAAAAAAGAATTTGGAAAATTTCATGCAATTGGTTATCTACAGAAATATCAATGGTTATTTACATTCTTATGTCGATATGATATATTCCGGTGAGCTTGAGATAAAATATACCCAAAGAGTCTGACACATCCGTTTATATTTGATATTTTACTTACTGACGTTTATGATAATCTAACAACCATGCTTTATGATAAACGTGATGACCTTAAGTTTCAATAGTCAACTTCCCTTACTTATGCAGCAATATACCTTCATTACCTGCATACGGAGTTTATATATCTCAGTTGATTCGATAGGCAAGAGAAGGCTCTACGTATGTACAATTTCTAAAGTGAGGTAAATCACTGACAAATAAGCTGATGAAACAAGAATATCAGCAGCCTTGTTTAAAGTCATCATTTCATAAGTTCTATGGAATAGAATGACCTTGTCAGCAAATACAGTTTATCATTGAGTCAAATGCTGACTAACGTTTTTCATACTAATTGTTAGGCCAGATGTTTTTCATAATAATTGTTAGGGCATTATTTACACACTGAATGACGGAGGATCTTCTTGTTATTTCCCTATCATGACAAGGAACACACTGCGGGTGTGACCGGTCGGCAGGGGATGCTCACTTCTCCATGACACCTGATCCCACCTATTTTGTTTTGGGGTCCATATTTGCTCTGCTCCTATTTTGTATTGTTTAATGGACTTATGAGCTTGAATACTGTTCCAAACTAGAGTATAGACACGGATATGTGATTTTGGATATTGCAAAATAACCCCCCACATTCCACTGAAGAAAATGCAGCTTAAACAATGCGTCTTTTCCTTAAACTTCAGTATGCCGATAAAGGAATTGACGCGGTTAATGTAAGTGATATTCTTAATCACAAAAGGGTCCCGTCTTATATTCCAACATATTTCAAGTTAAAGACTACACCTTGTATTTCTTACAAAGACTATTGTTTCCAAACTTGCTTTTCAGTTACCAAAAAAACTTTACATGGATTGGATATAGAGTATCTAAAACATAATCCTCCATCGTGTTCATGTTTTTTTTCACCCTATAACTACAGTCCTGCTGGACACGTTATTACAGATGACGTAAATAGAGTTAATAATGAGGACATTATATCAATATTTTTAAAAGTTCCTTAATATAGGGAACTCCGATTCTTCAACTGGCGTCGGAATTTCATAAATACATGGTATTATGGATTCTGTAGAAGATTACACCAGCCGATGGGCCAGATATGAAAAAGAAGATGTTGACACTTTGTCAGAATGAATTAAATGTATCGGATCTATGATACAATCGCGTATTAAAAGATTAGAGGCAATATGAAAACAATCTATCCTTCTGTATTCAATAATCCAGGAGTGAAAGAAGAATTGAATAGTTACATGATCAGTTCGGACTGGTCCCTGCTGACCAAGCAGGTAACAATATCGTTCTCGTATGGAAGGTTCATTATATAAATTGTATTTTACAAGAACTTGTGTTTATTTCTACAAGTGGTAATCCAACTTATACTCATATTTACCTTTCTGAGGAAGAAATTCTTCAAATTCATATGTCAGTTTTGAATATTTTTGATATCCCATTCAACCAAAATGAAATTGAATAACCACATCTATATTGGATTTCGAAACTTCATAAGAATCCTTACAAAGATTCATAGCGGGGTTCCAAAAAAATGTTCAACTTAGTCTCTTTCTTAACTCCTCACTAAGATATTAACAGTAGCGAAGGAGAAACTTCGAGAGAACTGTGCAACAATATATTCAAGAAGTGGTGTAAATCAGATGTGGATACTTAAAAATTTCAAGGAACTTCTGGAAAATTTGAATTTAAAAGGTTTTCCCAAAATCGACTTGTTTCAACTTGTACAGTTTGTTAGTTGATAAAATGTCGTCAGTATTATCATATGTCAAAATCAAAGGCAAAGGAGGATTTTTTCAATCAGCAGTTTTTATAAGCACTTAAAATAACCAGACTTTCATAATGATTTAGACTACGGAAAGTTCCGTTTTTATGATCAATGCATAAGGCTCACGGCGAGTGTGACTGGTCAACAGGGGGTGCTTACACCTGATCCCACCTCTGGTATATCCAGAGGTCTGTAGTTTATGGTGTCCCGATATTTGTTTTGATTACAGTTTTTAGCTAACCTCGACGAAGTCGAGATGAGCTTATGCTATAACCCCAGCGTTTTTAGCTAACCTCGACGAAGTCGAGATGAGCTTATGCTATAACCCCAGCGTCGACGTCCCAGTTTAAGTTTTAGGAGCAAGTCTGTTCCCAAGTAACTATAAGCCTTACCTGGACCAAACCTGCATGGTTGATGCTTCTAGGGATGGACACTACCAAACTTGCTTAGGATGCTGGATCTGACCTACATTTTCCAGATGAGTGACCAGGTTAAAGTTTTTTGAGCAGGTCCATTCCCACGTAACTGTCAGCCCAACCTGGACCAAACTTGCATGGATGATGCATCTAGGGATGGATACTACCAGACTTGCTTCGGTTGCTGGATCTGACCTACATTTTCCAGATGAGTAACCAGGGTAAAGTTTTTGAAGCAGGTCCATTCCCAAGTAACTGTCATCCATACCCAGATTAGCGACTAGGTTTTTCCCAATAAACTATAAGCCCTACCCGGACCAAACTTGCATGGATGATGCATCTAAGGATGGACAATCGAATCTTGCTTCTGTATCTGACCTACATTTTCCAAACAAGTGACCAGGTTAAAGTTTTTGGAACAGGTCATTCCCCAAGACCTATTTGAACAGAACTTGCTTGAATATTGTTGTCAGAATAAATACTAGTTTTAACTGTTAAAGAAATGTGAGATTTGCATAACTAAAACTGATAACATTCGTCGAGGTGAGCTTCGTAATCTTTGATTACCTTTGTTTTTAGTTGATTAACGTTCTTTATCATCTTAACCATTATAAAATAGACAAAATTTGATCCTTTTGGAAATTTAATAGGTTTTCAGAAAACTTGGTCTCCAAAAAGTACATAGATATCCTCGACGAGACATTTTCAACTATGTTTAAATTTCAACTTTACAGTACTTGCATATGTAAAAAGAATTAAAATTATATTGAGGGATATATATGGAGATAATGAGCAGTAATTAAGGTCAAAAGTCCATAACACAATACAAAATAGGAGCAGAGCAAAGATGGACTTCCAAAACGTAATAGATGGGATCAGGTGCCATGGATGAGTAAGCATCCCCTGCCCACCGATCACACCCACTGTATGCACCTTGTCATGATCGGGAAATACGTGAAAAATCCGTCGTCAATTCAGTGTGTAAATAATGGACTAACAATAAGTATGGAAAACGTCAATCAGCATTTGGCTTAATGATGAATCATATTTGTTGACAAAATCGTTATATCGACTATAGAACTTACAAAATGATAACTTTAAACGAAACTGTTGATATTCTTGTTTCAATTTTTTTTTCAATAATTACCTCACTTCACCCAAGTTATACATACGTAGAGCATGCTCTTGCGTATCGAATCAACTGAGAGATATAAACGTTATATGCAAGTGATGAAGGTGTATTGCTGCATAGGTAAGAGAAGTTGACAATTGAAAAGTTAAAGTCATCACGTTTATCATAAAGCTTGATTGTTAGATGAGCATTAACGTCTCTCTCTTCTTAAAAACCCAAATAGTAATTATAAAACAGATGTGTATGACTCTTTGGTGTCATTAAACGTATATCTCTCTCTCTTTCCATAAAATACCACAAATAGTAGTATAAAACAGACACCAACATGTGCATTGTTTGACATAATTTAATTTTAAAAAATTAACCCTGTTGAATTAACTCTCTTTAAAATTAATTTGGTGTCTTTTATTTCAAACAACCAGGATATATCAAATCGACATATGAATGTAAATAACTGTTGTTAATTGACAATATGCAGCGTCGATATATCTAAATGTCGAGTTGAAAGCCACAACAAATGTTTTTTCTTTGTACGTATAAGATTTTGAAAACTTTTAGCATTGAATTTAGCATTTTGCAAATTAAATGGCCGAATTTACAAATAAATTCGGACTTGAGTTGTTTTAACTACCATACTTCATCCCAGTTGTTAAACCATTAGTTCAATGCCAATTTTTCACTACGGATCTGTCACGTTGTAAATTTTGAATTTACCGGGTGGCAGTAAATACAAAATTTACAACATGACATCTTGTAAATTTTGTATTTACTGCCAACCGGTAAATTCAAAATTTACAACATGACACATCCTCCCATCTATCTGATAAATACAGAAATCAGCTCAGGCGTGTCTGAAAGACAAGGGATGTTTACTTCTTCTAGATAACTAATCCCACCTCTTGTGTTTCCAGAGTTCTATGTTAATGCCCCATTCACTTTTCTTATTTTTGCGAAATGTATTATATATTTGGGTAGGATCTTCGTACATTTTACTGATAGGCATAATGCAGGTAAACTGCATTATTGCAAGGAGAATTCAGGTTTTTTATCAAAATTCATGAAATCTGGGTTCATGTTGTTGCCCCTTGGGTAAGGCTTGGTCATTTATTCAAAATATAAATAAAACATGTATTTTTAAGCATTCATCTTTATTCAAGGGATTTTACCAAGCTTAAAATAGTTTTTTTTTTAAATCAAAATGATAAAAATGTATTTTATGACAAAATTATTTCTTTCAGATTCAGATAAATTGCATGGTCAGGAATTATGCATAGGTTTGTATAATAAATATATCACAGCATTTCTTTCTCTTATTTCAGTAAAAGAACCATGTATAACAAGATCTAAAGCAAAAAGTCAACCCACTGTCAACTCTCCTCCCTCTACGGTACCATACCAGCTGGACGGTGTGGGGGTGGTGGTGCCGATACGTCAGACAGTGGACAGTTACTACAGCCCAGCATCTGGCCTCACCCCATCCCTATACATCTACGTAGTCTTAGTCGTCTGTTCTCTTAGACAAACAGTACTTCCGGTTTTCAGGTGACAAAATGCCATCAGAATCACATATAAATACGACATTCAACATGCTACTCCAACTTATTTTTTTAAACATTTTTTTCGCAGTGGCAAAGTGAAGCATCAAAATTACCTGACGTGCCACATTAAACAAGCGATCAAAGGGGCAACATTTTTTTATTATATCTGTTATTAATTTGTAATCGAATTCCCGATCTAAATGTTTGCGCTGATCGTTTTTTTTTTTTCGATAAGTTGTATAATCATTTTTACAGACTTTCTTTTTCAAGCTTCACGTGTTAATTAAAGCCAACAAAGAAGCAATGATTTGGAAATTCTGTTACTATTTATATCAACTGTTTTGCTTATAAAATACAATGTATCGGTACTCTAGGGGCAAACGTCGGTAACCCGGATATTTTAATTCTATCAGATCCGGTTTCATTGCCATCTGTGCTAGAGCTCTGATGTTGCTTCTTTGATATTGTTAAAATAAAGAGATGAACTTTCATTAAAAATCCTAATTCATATCATTTAGCAGAATGTTACCAGAAGGAAAACCGGATGTTTTGCATCGGTCTACATTATGCAATCGATACCATTTTTCTTTGTATGTATATATGGATGTTGATAATCATCATCACATTTGTTTGAATGTGCAACTGCCATGTTTTGTACTGAGCTGCCATTTTTACATACAGCTAAATAAAAACAAATTATGTATCTCTTGAATTAACTATTTTTTTTTTTTAGAAAAAAAATATACATATAACCATTTGGAATGGTTTAAAGTATATATATGCACGAATAAATACAATGAAATATGACTTGCCACCTGGTGCACTGTATGCGAACTCCCATTAAAGCGATCTGACAATGGAAATCTTGTCAAATTTGATTTATAGCATCCTAAAAGGCTAATACATACACGAACTTTGTATAATTTTGGAATTCTAAATTTGAGAAAATCTGTTTTATATTTGTAAAACTTCCAAGAGTACCAAAGTACTATTCTGTGGTGGCACTTTTGCGCATATAATGTGCATGTATATCTGTCTTTCAGTGACGATCAAATAATTAAGTAATAACACCCTTACAACTAAATAGCAATCACTGGTATTTGTTTGAAATTAAGATAAAAACTCCTTTTTGCTTTTATTTAAATTCAATGGAAGAATATTAAACATCCCGTATTAATAAGTGCTGTTAGAATGACCATTGAAAGAAATAACAAGCTGAATACAATAGGTTCTTATTCATATTTCGAGACGATGAATCCCAGTGAGCTTGAAAGAAAAGATTCAACAGAATCTAACACACCATTTCTCTTATTAGGTTCGATGTTTTAGAAGTAAATGACGTTAATGGTCGAAAGGGGATGCTCACTTCTCCATGGCACTTGATCCCACCTCTGACGTTTTAGAGGTCCGTGTTTGCTCTGCTCCTGATTTTTGTTTTGTTTGAATGGACTTCGAGGTTGAATTATATTCCTTGTCTCAATATTTCATGTTTAGTTGCACCCTAGACTATAGTAAGTACAAGTATTTCTTTGTATTATATTTAAGTTTAGATTGAAAATAAAAAAAGAAGATAAATTGTATTATTATACTTTCCTGTTAAATACTAAAATCTGATTGGTTTAGACGCAGTTAACAATCTGTTCTATTACCCTCAGCCTTAGCAACACACGTGACAACGGGTAACACAACGGTAATGCCACATGCGTGGAAATTATGCGCGTACGGTTCACCGTAGAATTCTCAAAACGTCAGTTGCGCGTTTGAAAGAACCGGAATAAACTTGACGTCAATAAAAGCTTGCGTCCGATGAAGCTTACTTGAAAACAACAAACGACAGACGAAACATGCTTGCGAGTGGAGAAAAAAAACGAACCTTTAGATGATAAAGCACTCGTAGAGTATCAAATAAACAATAAAGAGGTCAGTAAATCTTTTTCGAAGTAGCGGGGAGTTTGGAAGCTTTCTAAACATGAACGAAAAGGCGATCAACGATTTGTATTGCTGACATAGTATATCAAGAAGACATTCAGTATAATAAAATAAATGGTGCCTGTTTTGGAAGGTAACAGTTGAAATTGACACCCCTCGGAAAACCATTGTCAACCTCCGCTGACGCGTCGGTTGACAATGGTTTTCCGAGGGGTGTCAATTTCAACTGTTACCCTCCAAAACAGGCACCATGTACATATATTATTACTCATGGATTGTTATATGCCACTGTATACAGGTACTCATAATTCTCTGTACTTGGAACCACCGATTTACCAAAAGAAAAAGAAATACAAATGATTGTAACTGACTGATTTATTGAACAAACAATTTCATCTTAAACAAATTAAGCAAATTAGAAAAATGACATCTAAATTTGCGGTTATTATTTTAAGTCTAGAATGTAAAAAAAAAGTTATTCTGAAATAGTTTTCAGCAAAAATATCATTTCGTAGTGAAAATCGCATTCACTTAATTTGTAAAAAAAAAAAAAAAAATAGAAAAGAAAATAAACTTTGCTTCTTAATTTTTATAATATTTACAAAATCAAAGATAAAGTTGAATGGTAGCATAAAAATGAGGTTTTTAAACTTATTTTTCATGAATAATTCTTCGACGAGTTAACTTGTTCTAGTGAACAAGACTCACCTTGGGCCTTTTTGGCCCTGTGATTTTCGAAAAATCAAAAACTGCTCAGTTTAAAAAATGCTTTGTGACCCTTAGTGAGTTCAGATTTTAATTTTATTAATGAACTTGTGCATGACTTCATACGTTAATTCTCGCTTGTCTATACATTTGATGATTTTTTGAATTTGGCATTACTCTACAATCCTTGATATGTTTACAAATATGGTCCAAATTAATTTTTTTTTGCAAAGAATCCAACCTCTGATCCAAATTATGCAATTTCCAAATGAAAGAACTGGTTATATTTTTTATCTTTTTTGATGGCACTCGAATACCTCCATTTTTGCAAAATTGTAGATACATGTAATTGCAATTGAACAAAGACTGGACTTTAAGAGGAAACTTTATTTTGCATTTTTTATATTGATGTTAAATGGGGCATCGGGTGTTGGCCAGTTTATTGTTATATGGACAAGATCATTTTATGCATAAAGTAAACCTACTGTTCTCTGCAGAATAGAAAAGAAAATGAAAATGCCACTGGGTTCTTTTTTTTTAACCAAAGCAAATAGAAATAAGTATTAAAAGGTGGAAGAAAGCAATCCTTTGCTACTTCGTAGAAATGTTGACACTTGACAGGAGTATACATCATATAGTCAGAGGTTTCGAATGTTCGAATTTAAAGGAGTACGTGATTTTTTAGCTGAGTGAAATAGTCTTGTCCCATGATTCCTTGCACTTCGTTACTGGGGTCCCTAATAACGAAGTGCAAAGGATCATGCATGGAACAAGATTATAACGAAGTGCAGCAAGATGTCTGAGTGAAATTATCAAGCTACAAGAAAATACACATTATATATGCGCATAAGCCAACAGAAACAAAGTCGTTCTTCTGTAGTCCAGGTAGTTGTTAATTTACAAACAGTTTTCAAACAAAACTTCGGACTAACCCCAGACCTTTCAAAAATGGACAAAAATTTTGTAACTAGTAAGGCAATATAAAAGCATGTCTTTCTAATACCACTGTATGTTTTCATTCATAAAAATTGTTTTCAAACAAAACTTCGGACTAACCCCAGACCTTTCAAAAATGGACAAAAATTTTGTAGCTGGTAAGGCAATATAAAAGCATGTCTTTCTAATACCACTGTATGTTTTCACCTCTAGTGATATTAGTATGACTGTGTTGTAGAATGTACCTCTTTGGCACGTGAAGCGTCGCTAGGTGCAATAGGTCGTCACCTAGGAGAGAGCCAGTACCGGTGTGGGGAACACGGTCTCTGTCGTGTTTGTGGTTTATCTTGACATTGAACGAGGCCGGGACGTGATGTTTTTTTTTGAGTGGGTGTGGGTTGCTATGGTCATTTTATCTACACTTAATGGCGAAAAAGGCCAATGTTTCTGTCGTGCGACCATTTTATTACCAGCTACAAAGGAATGTGACAGTTTTACACAATGTTTACAAACTGTTTCATTACAGGAAACGTCCCAGTATATTGTTCACAATTTCTCGTGACACTTCCGCAAAGGGTCGTATTTTGCCAAGGTCCCTGTTAGAATACTACCGTTCTTTATCATTAATTTTTCTTAATATAATTGAACAAAAGAATATTATCTTCTGTTGATCTTTGATCATTTTTAATATATTCGATCAATGCATACTATTAGTGCAAGATATATTACTGTATTCAGCGGCGACTCACACAAATTGTTCCGACGAAAATAGTTCCATCATTAATAAGTAGATACAAGATAATTGTTCATGATAAGAATAATGTTGTGTATGTCATACATAAAAGAAACCAAAATTAATGTTAATTTTTTCTCCAAAGATCACTTTCCCCCCTAAATGCGAATAAAAAATGTTAATATTCCTACGCTCGCTCCCTCCTCAGCTTTTTTTTTTTTTAAACATGTTTGATAACAAAGAATATCTAGGTCATTCTTCGGTTGATAATTTTTTCACTGATGAATTGATTATACTATATCAACAATTGTAGTAAAATCATGTTAATTATATATAGTTTCCTCTTAGAGAAAAAAAAAATAATCATTCCGTGTGTGTTGAATGACGGAATTTTCAATCCCTGAGCAGATTCCTGCACATGTGTAGACAAACTACACATAGGGAGAACCTGCATGTAAAATGTGTAACAAAACCCGAACTGGCCGGGATTTCTAAACTGACAATCGTTTAATTTTTTATTAACCAGAAGTTGTATTCATGTGATCTAATTATGAAAAAAAGTTCTGTCTGCCATCGTAACTTCTCCGTTCGCGGGAGTCCGATTGACAAGTCCATCGCACGTGTGTATAGACCAAAGCTAACTGGACTTGCGGACATAGGTGTGTGTACTGTTAGCATGGTTAGGAGACTGGGTGACCGTAATGCTACGGACTCACGAAATTTACACATGTTCTATAACTATAGACAGTGCAGTTTTCTTTTAATTAACGTCATTAAACACTGTTAAACATATTAAATCTAAAAGTCGAATATCTTTGGATATGGGGTAACCCATATCTATTCTTGTTTAAAACTTTTCGTGCAAGACACGAGAATGACCATTGATTAAACTTTAATTATTTACTGCATTTAATTTGCAAATGCGATCTTTTTAGGATGCTATCTTTTGTTTATCATTCAAATTTATTCTGTTTCAGAAATAATTAGTAAAAGCAGTGCTAAATCCCATGTGCACCTTGTACAAAACGTCTATTTTTAATAAAAGATTCCCCTTTGAATTTTGGGAGCCATATTCACATATTCAAAACAGAAATCTGGTTCTGTTTTAATCCGTGGTATATCAGTAAAACGATTCATAATTATGTAATTCCATTTCTAAAATAAAATAAGAATATTAAACTCTGTGCATATTATAAATTTTGAGGACATAATGCTACCATACTGACCTTTTTCTTCTGTTTAAATGTTGCTTCATCATTTTTCTGAATTTCTTGAACGTTATGATTCAAAGAATGATAAATTGCAAGTGTTACTTTGCACAGTATATGTATTATAGATAGAGGAAAGCCTCACAAGATAAATTTTGCTTCTTTATCTTCAAC